TGTGAAATGGGCATGAAATGTCATGTCAGAGTGTGCCCAATGTGAATGCACATCAAATGTGTGCACTAAGTATGCATCTGCACCTGTTATTTTTCAGTGTGTATTTCCACCCATTATTCTTTTGCATGAAATGTCGAGTGCGCCCAATGTGAATGTGCATGTGAGTGGGTGCCAAGTCACTATATTCCTATGGCATTTATTTTGCACAAAAAATATGCACCTGCCCAATTGTAGTAAATGCATGGACCAAAGTAGTTTGTAGCTGCCCTGCTGAATGACATCATGTGCCCCACTGAAACAATTTTTTTGCGCCAAATGATGTTTGGACTTTGTCAAAATTTGGCCATGTCCGGTATATTTTCCAGCTCAGGGGGTGGGGGAAGAAGCTTGAATGTACAAATTTAGTATCATTAGAATTGTATAAATGTCCTCTATCGATCTATACCTATTAGAAAAGCACCAGTAGTTGTGTAAATATTTTATGGCAGCAAAAGACTTGAAAGATGTTGGAAGGGCCAAGCAAACAAAGGCAAACATTCCGATAATTCTACAAGTTCATGCTACAAAACATGGGGGAAGAAGCTTGGATGCTCAAACAAGCTGGAATCATAATTTAGACACAATTCAGCATCTACTGATACCATTTTTTAGAGCAACGGTTGTCTGTGGCCAACCGAATTCAATACTCAGCTGTTTTGTCTAGGCTGTCACACTCTCACAAGTGTGATTTTTCTGTCAAGCATGTTGCATTGATTATTGTCCAGAGCTTTGCAGTGCTCTTCTTCATTTCTTAAGGCTCAGCCAAAAGTTACAGAGAAAGATAACTATATATTGGATAAAAGTAGCTGTAGGTTACTGGCTGAGAGCCATCTTGCAAATCTATGGAATCCATCCTGAAAATTCATGAAATCCATCCACCATTCCAGGAATTCCATCTTCAATTCCTGTAGATTAAACCAGGAAGTGTACTTCTGGAGCCCAGAGCCCAGCCTATATCCTGTACCATCCAAGAGAGTGAAATATGGGGCATTTGGGAGGCACCAATGTGATTTGGGAGTGACCTGGAGGGTGGGGGAGAATGGGAAGGCAGTAAAAAATGCGAAATATGAGAGAGCATGGGGAGTATCATCACCTACCCATGTCTGGACACCTTAGAAAGTCAGGATAGGACCATAAAATGTTTTGGAAATGGGAGGAGAATGGGATGGCAGAGAAAAATGCGAAATAGGAGAGAGCATGAGAGGTATCATCACCTACCCATGTCTGGACACCTTAGAAAGTCAGAATAGAACACATTGAGCACACTCTGATGGGCACATTCTGATGGGCGCACTCTGATGGGTGCACTCTGACATTTGGTGCACATTCCCATTGGGCGCTCTCCAAATACATACTGAAAAACAACAAGTGCAGATGCACACTTGTTGCAGGTATATACTGACTTGGCACCCACTCACATTTGGCCCACCTTCACATTGGGCTCATATTTCATTTGGTGCACATTCACATTGGGCACACTCTGACATTTCGTGTGCATTCACATTGGGCACACTCTGATATTTCATGTGTATTCACATTGGGCGCACTCTGACATTTCATGAAGAAAAATAATAGGCGCAAATACACACTTGGCGCCCACTCATGTTTGGTGGAAATCCACATGGCAAAATTGGTGCACAAAATAATGGGCACAGATACACATTGGAAAATGATGGGCGCAGATACACACTCGGTATTGACAGTTATGGTGCCCACCTGAAGCACCAATGGGCATGACAATCTGACACTGGCAGTGTCTTGGTGCCCACTCACATTTGTATTCACTACACAATGCTGGACACAGGCTATTTGTGACCCTGTCAACAGCACAAGGTACATACAGTGGCACTTGAAAGAATTGTGCCCCCTGTGGAGCATACATCCCTCATGGAGCTCGAAATAATTGCACCCCCCATGGAATGCAAATAATTTCTCCCCTCGTGGAGCTCGAGATAATTGCACCCCCTGTAGAGCTCAGAATAATTGCGCCCCCATGGAGCACAAAAGAATTGCGCCTCTCATGGAGCTTGAAATAATTGCACCTCTAGAGCACAAAATAATTGCGCCCCATAGAGTGCAAAATAATTGCTCCCCCATAGAGTGCAAGTAATTGCACCCTGGAGCACAAAAGAATTGCGCCTCGTGCCCTCTGTAGAGCTCAAAATAATTGTGCTTCCCTGGAGCACAAAAGAATTGCTAGAGCACAAAATAATTGTGCCCCATAGAGTGCAAAATAATTGCTCCCCCATAGAGCACAAGTAATTGCGCCCTGGAGCACAAAAGAATTGCGCCTCGTGCCCTCTGTAGAGCTCAAAATAATTGTGCTTCCCTGGAGCACAAAAGAATTGCGCCCCTTGTGGAGCTTGAAATATTTGTGCCTCTACAGCACAAAATAATTGCACCCCCCATAGAGTGCAAATAATTGTGCCCCTTGTGGAGCTCAAAATAATTGCGCCTGTAGAGCGCAAAATAATTGCACAGGTTAGGACTCACCAATGAGACCAATGGGTGTAGTGCATCAGTGCCATAAATCCCTGCCAAAGTGGGCCAGGCATTTACTACAATTGGGGGGGCACATATTTTTTGTGCAAAATAAATGCCATAGGAACATAGTGACTTGGCGCCCACTCACATGCACATTCACATTGGGCACACTTGACATTTCATGCAAAAAGATAATGGGTGGAAATACAACTGGAAAATAACAGACACAGATGCATACTTAGTGCAGGTACAAGTGATTTGGCACCCACTCACATTTGGTGAACATTCACATTGGGTGCACTGACATTTTGTGTGCATTCACGTTGAGCACACTCTGACATCTGGTGCCCATTCACATTGGGCACACTCTCACAATTGGTGCCCATTCACATTGGGTGCACTTTTCATGCATTCACATTGGGTACACTCTGATGGGCGCACTCTGACATTTGGTGCCCATTCACATTCCAACATTTCATGCATTCACATTGGGCGCACTCTGATATTTCATGCACATTCATGTTGGGTGCACTCTGATGGGCGTCCTCTGACAGTTGATTCACATTTACATTGGGCACACTTTTCATGCATTCACATTGGGCACACTGACATTTTGTGCAGAAAAATAATCACTGACATTTTGTGCCCATTCACATTCCAACATTTCATACATTCACATTGGGCACACTGATATTTCGTGCACATTCACATTGGGTGCACTCTGATGGGCACACTCTGGCATTTGGTTCACATTTACATTGGGCGCACTCTGACATTTGGTGCCCATTCACATTGGGCGCACTTTGATGGGCGCACTCTGACCTTTGGTGCACATTCACATTGGGCACAGCACACTCTGACATTGAAACAATGCTGGATACAGACTATTTGTGACCCTATCAACAGCACAAGGTACATACAGTAGTACTTGAAAGAATTGTGCGCCCTGTGGAGCACAAAATAATTGCACCCCCTGTGGAGTGCAAAAGAATTGCATCCCTTATGGAGCTCAAAATAATTGTCCCCCCCATGGAATGCAAATAATTTCGCCCCTCATGGAGCTCAAGATAATTGCACCCCCATGGAGTGCAAAAGAATTGCGCCCCCATGGAGCACAAAAGAATTGCGCCTCTTGTGGAGCTTGAAATAATTGCACCTCTAGAGCACAAATAATTGCACCCCCATAGAGTGCAAATAATTGTGCCCCTTGCAGAGCTCAAAATGATTTCGCCTGTAGAGCGCAAAATAATAATGGCATTGGTGCAAAGTGTGGGTTATTTTCAATAGGAGCGCCCATTATTGGCATGCAACTGTGAATCATTTTCAATAGGAGCACCCATTATTGGCAGGTGCCCACCTGTTCGGCCCAGCCATCACTATGGATGATTTGTTGAGATGTCAGCCAAGTCCGCTGGCCCCATATGGTATGAAGCATTGTCAAGTTCGGTTGGTCCATTTGGTAAGGGCTAGGGTCACTGTCATATGTGGAACACGATCAGTACTGAAGAAGATGGTATCCTATTCACAGCCATCAACCCTATCAAGCTCCACTACGTCTATTCCAAGGGGGTGCCGGGATTTAAAATAAGGACCGGACGTCGAAATTATTTTTAGCGAGACTTGGGCTGAACCAACCACCCAACGTAATCAGGCACACATCCATTTTAGGAAATATGATGTCATCCACGTGCCGGCTTTTTCTCTTTTCCATCACTCAATGCCCAGCAGGCTGTGAAAACCCATTTTTTGAGCTCCCCGTTGAGCAATTCACTGTTGAAATCAAACTACTGAGCTGCCTGCTACTGAATCAAAGTAAGTCACTGTAAGGGCCTGCTGTTTTTGGGCAGCAAGCTTCAAGTTTGTTGTACAGAAAGGTATTTCACAACATGTGATCTCAATTCCAAGTCCTATCTTATCTTAGACCTAGTTTTTTGCTTCTTTATATGCAGATAGACCCAATATATTCAAGCTCATGCATTCTGGCAGTTATCTGAGCACTGTCTCATCATTTTGCACTGAAATTTTGGTATGTCAAAAAAAAAATTAGCGGCCTGGCGGCCGAACCAACCAACCGGCCCCTGGTCCGGGATTTAAATCCCAGCACCCCCTTGGTCTATTCACCCACCACCACTCAAACATTAACAGTGCTCTGCAACGCCGGTGCAAACACAGCACAGCTGAACCAAAATAACCACAGCATCCTATCCTTTGCATTGACCAGATCTGGTGAAAGTACAACACGGTATCGCACATGGGACACTGTGCCGACTGTAGTCGAAGCACTATGCAAAAGTGGCACAGACATCAATTTGCATCATCATAATGTGCTGTATGGGGCAAAGGAAGGCGACACTTCTTTGCATGTTGCCATTAATGCACTTGTTGCTGCAGATGATCATTATGTGAGGTCCACTGAGGGCTATGAGTCTTTGGTACGTTCTGAGTGTGCTGAGGTGTTGATTTTGCATGGTGCAGATGTGAATACTGTGAATGATGCTGGACAAACACCTTTGCATTTGGCTGCTAGTGCATGGAACAACCTTGCTTGTGTAAAAGTCCTTTTACAATATGGGGCTAAGATGGATGTGAAGGATTTTGAGGGAAATACACTGCTCATGCTGGCACAGGGTAAAGTAAAAGTGGTAGCTTTCCTTCGCGAAAGAGCATGAAGTAATTGGTACCGGAGAGGTTTTAGAATAGTGAATATTGACCACAGTCGGGAAGCAGTTGTTCTTTTGGATTTGGAGGATGGGAGGAATTTTATTTTGTGTTATGAGTACTAGGTGTGCTTTTAGTTATTCCGTAGTTGAAAATATCTTTTGCTTGCTTATTTCTACATTTCTAGTTGGTATACTGAATTGCTTTTCCTATGTAATTCTCACTACCATAGGTTCGTTCATCAGCAAGTAATGTAAAAGACAGTCTTTGCGAAACCTGGTCAAGCGCATGCCATGGCTAGTAGTAGCACCAGTCACCATCGTGGGAAGATAACGCTGACCTGAATGCAACCTCCATCTCCTAAGTTCTACGCGTACCCCTTTTCCTTTTGTCGGTTGTGATTCATCTTGCCAACATCCACCTTCCGTGACTGAACGTCAAGTTTCTGTATGACGATGGATTCCGCAACAGCTACCCTCGCATTTTTTGCGAAATTACCTCTGGAACTGCGATTGAAAATTATAACCTTCACCTTCCTCCTGCAAATGCAGGCCAAATTTGGCACAAATGACTACGACGAAATGGCGAGGCGTGTTTGCAACTACGGAGTGTCAGAGGCACATTTCTGGTTGGTTGCGCTTGTAAGTGATCAGATTCAATACAGTGAACAGATTCGGAATCTCATGTCTATTATACAGCTTGACATTGGCATGCACATCCCAAACCCACCTGTTCTAGAAACTGATGTCTATGGTCACGAATTGTATGATGGGTGGAGTGCCATTTACGTTGCAGCGCGGGCAGGTGATATTCCGCTGATCCAACGCCTCGTCCGTCTCGGCTATGACATCAATACTGTCGACACCGACGGAGATACGGCAGTGCGTTCAATCGTAGAAAATTTGGGCCATGGCTATCACAACAGGAACCCACACCAGGATCTTCTTGTGCTCCGAGCCCTTTTGGAAGAAGGTGCTGACATTAATTTTGTGTACAAGGATAGAGAACATGCCCATATCATCTATGAACTCATCGGGCATGACTGGACCAAGCCACACCGCTACAATGCATGTGTCGCAGCAATCAAACTGCTGGTGGAACATGGAGCCCCACTGGATCGGTCCTTGCATGCTGTGGCAGACCCTTACAGCAAGTCAACGTCCAAGCTTATCAAAGTGCTACTTGATGCTGGTGCCGATATTGAGGAGCGCTGGGACGACATGACCCCACTTGTGTATGCTGCGTCAAGGAAAAATCCCAAAGTGGTCCAAGCGCTACTGAATGCACGTGCCAACTTGAACTTGAATGCGGTTGGTAAAGGAGACGGTATCCTGTTTGCAGCAATCAGTCCAACCAAGTATCACTACGTTTACGCACCCAACACTGCTCAGACGTTGACATTGCTCTGCAATGCTGGTGCGAACACAGCACAACTTAATTGGGATAACCACAGCGTCCTGTCCTTTGCATTGACTCAATCTGGCAACAGTGCAAAAAGATATCGCACCTGGGACACCGTGCCGACCGTACTTGAAGCGCTCTGCAAAGGTGGAGCAGATGTCAATTTCCATCACCACAATGTGCAGTACAGTAGGGTGAACGAAGGAGACACTCCTTTGCATATTGCCATCAATGCACGTATTGGTGCAGATCTTTATGGGAGTTATCCTGACAACTACGAGTCTTTGGTGCGTTTTGAGTATGTTGAGATATTGATCTTGCATGGTGCGGATGTCAACACTAAAAATGATGCTGGACGAACACCTCTTCATTTGGCTGGAGCACTAAACAACCTTCCTTGTGCGAGAGTCTCTTTACAGCATGGTGCCAAGTTGGACGTGAAGGATTCCCATGGAAATACAGCACTCATGTTGGCACAGACTCTGGGTTCGAAAAGAGGGAACACCTCAGAATTGGTAGCTTTCCTCACGGAACAGGAGCATGAAGTAATTGCATGTACCAGAGAGGTTTTGAAGTAGTGAGAAATGTAGAGAAATTCCGTGATTACTTTCAGTAGCACCATCCATTGAAGAACTACCTTCACGCAAAACCAGACAAATATCCCACCAGCCCCACCGAGGGCCGGTGTGCCTCCCAAGCTAATCTGGGGTATGACTTTTAGAAGAGATGTACGAGTGCCTTGAAGTGTTCGAGATGATAGTAACTTTTATATTTGAAGCTGTTCGGGATGATACCAGTCGCGTTTCCAGCCGAACTCTGATTGCTTTAGCGGTCACTTGCCATGACGTTGCGCTCGATATGTACCGCAACCTCGCCAACGGCCTCCTCCGCCGATGCCGCGCCCTCCCCCTCAAAGGCTTCCAGCTCCTAACGGACTCAACTACCCCCAACTCATCCGCTCCGTCAACAAGGTCATTGACCCACCACCGCCGCCGCCGCCGCCGCAACGGCGACACCACCCACCCAACCCATTCCCCTTCCCACCCTGATACCCGGAAAGTGCGCACTTTGTCCGACAATGGTGGCCCAGCCGACCCAACATCCCGCGCATAAGCTGCACAGTGGTCTTATTGGCGGAACACGACCAAGTAAGCAGTCGTACGCGGTTCGTGCTCGTGCAGCATTATTTCTAGGTGCCGGTTAATCACTTCGAGTGGGATAACTATAATTTGTCTGTGACTTCTTTCGGGCTTGGGGCGGTTTGACAACTCCTCGTCTTCGCCCTTCCTCTTCCTCGTCTTCTGGATCCCAGCCCCAGGCCCCCACCACATCTACTTCCACCACGACGTTAAGGACCCCGGCGCAAACAATGCAAGAAGACGGAGTGATGCACCTCTGGTACGTCCGCACGCCATTCGAAGTCGTGCGCGGGTTCGACGCGATCTCTGAAGAAAACGACGACGATGGAGGGACGCCTGATCGGCCTAGATCGTTGGTGGGTGCTGATTTTGGACATACGATTTGAATTGAGTATGTTGAGGGTGGGGATGTGGATAGGGCGGACGAGGGAAAGGGTAGTATTTTGAAGTTGTTTTCAGCCAAGTCGAACACCGGGATCCGCTCCTGGAAACCGTATATGTTGGAGCTCCTAATCCATAGGATTGGAAGACGCTCCCTGAACGGTGACGCAGCATTTGTTGCTCCTCATCACGAAGGGCACCGTGACCTAACTCCATCTTGTGGGTTACAGAACCGTGGGGACACATAGGGTTGGGGATCGTAAGTTTTTGGGTCGGTGGAGGAATCAAGGTCTGGAAGACGAGGGTGAGCGCATGCTGAGGCGAAGCACAGAAAAAATCGTCCACCGCCACTTCAATGATAAATGTTAATGAACACTCACTAGCACTGGCCACCTTTCACGTCGTTGCCGGATGCTCTGTGTTCTCCCTCCCGCCCGATGTGCAAAACTCGCGTCACTCTGTGATCAGAATTCATTGAACATCCTAGACCTCAAGCCAAGCGGTCAAGAATTGTTCGCAGTACTCCGACCTGAGGTGAACAGGCCGCCGTTGATACCGCGTAATTCGACCCAGAGGTAACATGTAAGCTTTCAGTGGCCTCAGCCTAACTATCGTACAGCAGAGGCTAAGCGCTAAGCGCTAATCTCCTGTCGAGTGCACATCTCCGATGTCAAGTCTCCGTTTTTCGTGGAATCTAAAATATATTTGAAGTCAACAACTGCACACTGAGTGAGAATACTCGTCGTGTAACTTGCAGCAAATGCGAATAATATGCAAGGGCAATGCAAGGGTATGCAGGCAGGTTGACCGGCAATGGATTGTAGCCGGTGGTTGACTCGTGACAAGACCACAAGGTGGTCCGTGCGGACTCCAACGGTATAAAAGGCAGACATGCTCATGGTAACAACTCATACTTACCTTGATGGCATAAGCTCCTTCAATTACCTGGGTTTATGGGCCGTGGAGACCCTCCATAGCACGGCGACCTTGTCCTCAGGGGGTGTCTACAGCTTGTATGCGCTTCGGCGCATGCACCGTCTCAATATTTCCCTGTCCCGCATCGGCCACTCTGGCTGAGCGGGCTCTCTTTTTTACGCTTTTGTTGGGTTCTAACCCTAACCTTATGTTCTCTATTTACGATTTTTTAAATTGATCCCAATCCTTGTCGCGAACCTCCACTTTCTTTCTGCAAGCTTCCGGCTTAAGCTACCATTGGCATTTGAGATACCGCCTTCAAATTTCCGAACACGAGATGCACGAGTGCCTCGAAGTGTTCGACATCATAACTCTCATATTTGGAACTGTTCGGGATGATCCTAGTCGCGTCGCTAGCCAAACTCTGATTGCTTTAGCAGTCACTTGCCGCGCGTTCCACGACGTCGCACTTGATATTCTGTGGTTTAAACAAACTTCCTTGGTTCCCCTACTCAAGATCTTATCACACAGTTTCTGGAAGGAGACTCCAAATGTTGGCTTTTATCGCACATTTGTGAGTCTTTTCCCCTTGATTATCGAGGTTCTAACATGATCATTTTCAGACATGGTCGGCTTTTGTGTTCGAAAAACTGGATTTTACCAGGTTCGATTCCTACGCACAGCGGATCCGATACCTTGATTATGCACCATACGCTTGGCACAAGCATATGCCCAGCTCACCATACGACTTGGATTGTCTCACGTACCTTGCTAAAAGGCGAGATCATAATCACTGCTTCTTTCCGAACCTGCGTCGTTTGCGGTTCACCGTTCCCGGCTTCTTAAAGCAGTGCCCCAGGGTATTTCTGCAGCACAGCTCCGTCTCACTTTCTCTTGAATGGAATCAAGGCGACGAAGATGTCTCCAAGGCACTTTCCTGCATTGAGAAATATGCGCCCGAACTTGAGGGGTTGGACTTGGGTTCTTACATCATGAATCGCGGTGTTGCCCGGGTTGAGAACTGTAGGCTGCTATCAGCCTTTGTGTGCAAGATGAAGAACCTTACACGGCTTGCTTGTGGGAGTCTAGCACTGTCCGACAAAGCGCTACTCCACCTCGCGTCTCTACCACACTTGCAATCCTTGCAAACTCCGAATACTGTGGACGATATCGTGCGATCTATCAAGGCACACCCTCCCCTTGAACATCCTTTCCTATCTTTACGGCAATTATCAGTCAGGGGGCTTGGCGATCTCAAATCCCTTGCGAAATTCCTCGCTTGCATTCGCCCTGCCCGTATGAAGAGTTTGAAGTTGTTCTTTGAGAATTCAAGTCCTGCGCTGGACGTGGGGGAGGCATTCATTGCTTTGCACGAAACCTCTTCGCACCACGAATTACGTGAACTCTCTTTCACGCACGAAGGTAGCGTACCATCACTGGGAAGCTCGACGAACCGGTTCCTTATTGATGAGTGGGTTCTCGGAACACTATTCGCCTTCACGAATCTCACTAAATTCGAGCTCGCGCTCAAGGCCGCGTTTGCGCTGAATGATTTGAACATAAAAGAAATGGCGGCTGCGTGGCCGAGATTAAGGAGTCTACAGCTCGGGTCACCGTCAGGTTGGGGTCAACGTTCCGGGATCACATTGCACGGTATCCTTCATCTTCTGGCTGGATGTCGCGAATTGGAGTATTTGGGAATATCGATGGACATCTCGCCGGCGTCTTTACCCCCCTTGTCGATGATCACGCCGCAACATGCCAACAAGCGCATCACGTATTTGCACGTTGGAGATTCCTTTTTTACGTCGGATGGGCCAAAGGTCCGTGATTTGTTTCTTTACCATCCGTTTGCGCAGCTCTGACTCATACTGCAGACGGCGGCGGTTTTAGTGAAGATGTTCCCCGATTTGAATGGGATTGGCGGCGCTTGGCTGTATTCCGAGTCGACTTTTCATCAGCCAAAATGGGAGCTCGTTATTGAGGAGGTGAGGTTGATCAGGTCTAAAGGCTTGAATCGGGCTTGAGGGCTTCGCCATTCGAGAAGTCACACATACGTGGGGCTCGCCGCTCGTATCAGCAGTTACAAGGCAGTAGGGTTGCCAGTAGAAATGGCGGATACTCACAGTTCGTATGTACTATTGATTTTCTACAATAGCAGTCTGCGACATGCATTATCTAAGAACATTGACAGATATCCCCACACCTGTGCTTCTAGGAGGGATCATGTGAACGGATCGAACATCGAATGCCTTGAAGTTGAATCCACGAATCTTTGTACACCAATGATCCTGGCCGTATTGGCAGTCAAAGCCCTTTCGCTGTCACTTGCCAGCTTTTCATGATTAACACTCGGCGGTACAAGCGCCTTTCTTTGTCCTCTTATTCAAAATCCTACCGCAAGAATTTTGGATGGCGGACGGGTTTGACCGAAGGTTTGTGAGTTTTCATTCTACTGATGATCCTTATTTTTTGGCTTCGTATGGGTGTCCGATTTTATTCTCAAGCTCGACTTGTTTACGCTCAAAGGATCCGGTGACTTGATTATGTGCGCTATCCTCAAGATTTCACGTTAATTGTGAACCTCTTTTGACATAGACCGACCACCAACCAATTCAAATTCCTAGTTAACCTCCATAACGTGAGCTTCATTCATCCATACATGCTGCGTACGTGATTGCCCAGTGATATTCGGCCGATAAGGGGGAACCCTTTTTCGGTTTTTTTTACTGTAAGCTCTTCACATAAGTACGTAGCCGCATCGACCCAGGAAATTCTTCGAGCGAAGACCCGGAGGATTCGGGCGCAATGCTTCCACTTCTCTCCCCCGTTAGGAGCATGGCACCTCTATTACAGGAACTGGACCTGGGTTCTTATAACGTTTCATGATTTGTTGTACGGGAAATTCGGACTTCTCAGCTTGCGTGCTATAAATGCCGAACCACGAGGACTTGCGTGCGGTGATCTATCTCTGGACGGCTCAGCATCCTCCACCTTGCCTTCTTGCGGAATTTGTGGTCCCAAAATACTGCAGCTTGTATTTTGCGAGCCCATCTCAGTCATGTCTCTCCATCATTACACCGTTTGGCCCTTAAAGTGGATGACCTCGCGTTATTGGAAAGCTCCTCGACCGAATTTTCCCTGCTGAAATCAGGAGCCTGACTGTGCAACTTTGGAATTCTTTTTGTGCGTTTGAAGTGCAACGTGCAATTTTCGCTTTGGGGGGGCTGTTCACCGCACGCTACTCTGCATGAATTTTGTTCGGAAAACGCAAAGATTTGAATATTTCAAAACACACCACCATCGATGGGCCAACTCTGAAACCGTGATTGGTCTTGAACCTCACTAAGCTCGACTTTCGTTTGAATATGTTCTTTGTATTGGATAGCGTGATCATCAAGGAAATGGCAGCAGCGTGGCCTAGACTGGTGTATCTCCAGATTTTGGGTGGCATCGTACCTCGAATGTCTCGAGGTGAGGTCGTCCCTCAGCCACGCTGAGCGCTCGCCAAGAGCGAACTTGCGCGCTAGAAATTCTTCATTGAATTCCGGATGCGTTTGGTCCCGTTAATGATGGAACCCATGTCATGTAACCTATGAGCGAGTACCTTTGTCCGCATGGTTTTCTCCTCCGGATAAGCAAGAGGCTTGGCTGAATTTTTGGCTAGAGGATTTGAAGGGTTGAATAGGAAATATCAAAACCCAGGGTGTGCCAACAGCCTGATGTCCAGTTAGATCTAAGCCTGTCAAATATTGTCGGCGGAGAGGGCAGAGATGATTAATAAATTGATTTAGCCGTGCGGGGTTCATCGATTCCTTGGAGGTAAATTTGACGAGAAGAAAATATGTTTTTCATTCCGGTTTGACGATGCTGGAGGTCGAGGATGGTTAACGCCAAGTTGGAGCACAAGGCTAGATAACGAGAATGTGCCTTGTCACGGTTCCGACTACCACAAGCGTTATCTCCAGTCTGAGTGATTTTGGGGCTCAAGAAGCGCGCCAAAGGCACCCCACGTTCGAAAGTCACAACATCGGACGACCCTTACGACTCTCAAGGTTCGCGGGAGCTGAACGTATTCACTAGCGTGATGTTGGGAGTTCTTCCATCAAGTCTTCATGTTTCCTTGGAGAGAACATGCGGCTAGGGATGTGTAAGTAACGACACCTAAGGCCGAGACATAATTGAAACAATTCACTTCAAGCGAGATCTGCGATAGAGCGTTTCGTTATCATTGAGCTAAGAGTGTTGTCCTTGTGTTGAATCTGTGGGTATAGATAGGGCGCTTTTTTTTTGGAACGCGCTGATTGAAAGATTTGTCTTTGTGTTTTGATTTGTCGAATGGATTCTTATGTTCGCCGTTTTGACCGAGCGTATGCTACGGTACTGAGCGGCGAGCGGGCTGATGCGGCCAAGATGCGATTTGTTAGCGGGTGAAGTTGTCTCTATATGATGGTTATAAACCTGCGGGCATACAAGGGGGTAGAGTTTCGCCTAACCTTCAATGGGTGCTTTGTGCCAACGTATCAAGGGCACTGTGCATTGCGCAATCTCCCCAAGCCTGTGACCCTCCACCGTCGAATCCTACTTAGAAGGAAGCGAAGGGGAAGCGAGGCGTGACAGCATGCGTGGGACGACCGATAGCACGTATCGAAAGGTTGCGCGAGTGGGAAGATGCGCAGCCGTAGAACTTTGAGCTCTGATGTGATGTGTAGACTCTAAGTACACGTCGTTGCGAACGTCAATCGGACGTGTGTGTTGAGTGCCTTACATACGGACACATATGGACACATAAGTATAAGTAAATTGAGACCGGCGGTATCGCTCAGAGGGTGGGCGCGAGCGCGTCGAACTGTCAGAGCTGGGAGATGTCAAAAGATAAGATTTCGCCGCAGCCATACGGCCCTGAAGGTACGGAATCTAACCCTGGCGCTGTCATGACTCTCGAGAGGAGGTGATAAGAGCTTCTTCTGCATGCCGAGACAATAAGGTGTGAGGTTTATTTAAATAGACCTGTAACGAGGGCTTGACCTGCGAGGCTGAATCGGAAATGGGGTGAGCGTCATTGTTGTAGTGGTAATAGGAGATACGGCTACACTTACATGGTAATAGGTGAAGAGCGTATCAGATATCCAAGAAGGGTAAGGCGCGGATCTCAGGAGGAAGAAAACGTGCATGATCAAAGAGCAGGTGTGAGGCCAGTGGACGAGATGACGTGCTCGGAGCCCCACACGCCCATTGAATCGTCGGGGAGCCTCACACCGACGACATTCCGGAAAAGATGGACGACAGGCGCCCTTGTGCTTGACTGGTAAAATGCATCGTCTTTGATTACTTATCACGATTGCGTCCATCACTGACAGGAGCTGACAGGACGTAAGTAACAAATAATAAATAGGCTTTCGGCCAGACCTTGACGTTTCGAGCGTACCGCCAAAGGAAATGACATTGATTGACATTTTAAATATCTTGGGGTAAGTACTTGCCTACTACAAGTAGCCACGTAGGGAGTGCTTTCCAGAAAGTGGTCAAAGTTGAGCTCTTTGTAGACCTAGGCCTTATGCTGACGCACTGCATGAACATTTCTTCTTCGAGCGAATTTTGCCATTACATTCTGAATAAGAACTTTGCGGGAATCAAGGGAGCGTGATGGACGTTGAGTGAAATCAGGTGAAATCGTGGCGGAATCTCCGAAGAACTTTAGAATGGCTGAAAATGGACTGATGGGTATTTCAGGGTGTACACATTGTGTCCCCGTCTTGTACCTTTGCGTCCATGACTGGCGCAGCTCACATCTCTTTTCTAACCCTTTTCTTCTCTAAATAACGAATTTGTAGTTCAGGTATGCCAACCAGGCCCCTTTGCTATCGTTTTCGCTGACTTTGGCAGTGGAGGAGTACGTGTGGTCGTTCTGAAATCGCACCACCTTTTGCGGAGGTTTATCTTTCAGTACATATTATTCTACACGAAGCTCCAAGTCTCTCTTTTACGACCTTTCAAAAACTCAAAAATCCTACGAAGACCATAACACCAACGACCAGGCGGTTGATATGGCACCAAGACGTACCGGAACACAAGACTCGCTCAGTCCAAACGCACCACCCTCACCCGCTGTCTCCCGGTCCACGTCACCTTCCTCGGGCTTTACACAATTCTTATCGAAACCTTCAAAATGGTTCACCCGCAGTGTTTCCGGTTCAAAGGTACCCGCCGGGACAAATGAAGCGCGTCCGAGCATGAGTTCAGCGGGCGGGAGAAAACACAAGATCTCTAGGCCAACAGATCCTCGACCGATTATGGATGGGTATACTGGAGGCGCCAGCAAGTGAGTGTCTCGTTATTTTGGATGGAAGTGGGCGATCGAGCGTTCTACGTGGCAGCGGGAAAGGGGGCATGACTGTCAGATGTTGCTGGCGGTTCTAATCATTCCCATTTGCCATAGATATCTTGTTTGGGGTGTCTAATCTTCTGCGTTTTGTGGAAGTTTGCGATGGATTGGAGTTCTGGCGGTTTGACAGAGGTTTTGATCCACAAGGGTCAACTTTGCTCTTGAGGCCTTCTTTTATCAAAATTCTTTCCCGATTTCATTTGAACCTTTTGGCATTTTTCGTGTTTTGTCCTTCCACCAATTGATACTTACGACATCCTGCCGTTAACTAGGTCTGTACTCGACTTGTCAGCTAGACCGGCAGGATCCATGGATATTCCACAGTTCCACGCGCCCAGCACACCTTCAAGCCCTGTCGTTCCACATAGTCCAGGAGGTCTTGGTGACCTACGAAATATGTCCCGTCGCGGATGGTCGAGATCCGCTGACGACCTGAGCAAGGTCTCCGCGGGGGAATTCTCTCCCGTCAAAGCTGCTTTCCAAGAACGAATAGCAGAGTACAGAGCTCGAAGCGACAGTAGCGCCAGCGCAGCTTCACCTTCGAGCCCCTCTTCCATCCATAGTCCTTACAGTGGAAGGCATCCATTTCCTACCGTCGATAACAGTTCGCCGTCTTCATCTCCGCCAAGGAGTTCAACACTCCCTACCCTTGCAGTATCAGTCTCAGCACCAATTGTCGAAGAAGGTTCTTCGCCCAGATCATTCACTCCAACCCACGTTCATACACGATCCCACTCCTTTACACCTAAACTACCTTCAAAGTTGGCAACTCCTCGATTTCCCCCCAGTCCGCAGAGGGAGGGCCTGGCTCCACCTCTGCAAGATAGGGAAACGCGGGAGCTGGAGAAGCCAGCACTGCTCCCTCTGCAAACACAGGCTCACCCATCATGTTCCAATCGGCCAGGATTCGGCTTTGCGTTTGGAGGGATGAATCAAAACAAAGTTACTGGAGAGCAAACACCAGTGACACCATCACCTGTGGCGAACCGAAATACAACATTCATGGTACCGTCCACTGCGGCCAATCGCGCAACTACCCTCTTGGCACCTCCCATGATCATCGAGCCCGACCAGGATGGGGATCAGGGAGAATCATTGGATTCAAAGCGAGCCTCCCACATTGTCTTCAACAGCGGATTCATCAACCGTCTCAGTGAGGTTCCGACCAACTTCCACCATGCAAATCTGCAGCTCTCTAAGGGATGGAAGCCGTACAAGCTTGAGCTGAAGGGGTCGAAGCTATACTTCTACAAACCTCCGGGGGATCGGAGTGCAGCTATCAAGGACTTGTTTCCGACAAGCCTCGTCCCACCTTCCCAGGAGGAAGAGGATACAGATGCTGAGATGTCTGGAGTGGATGAGCTGGAGGGAGCCAGAAGTAAGAGGAAGGGAAAGGGGAGAGAGGAGACGGCCACGCAGGGGAGGAAGAAGAGAGCGTTTTGGGGGAGAACGACACATCCGGATCTGATTCGGGATGCAGATGGCATTATCGTGAAAGGGTCTTTTGAAGCCCTCGTTCATGAGACCGTATTTGCGACTACGTTCTTCAGTCCGCTGGATGGTGCTGAGGAGGGGAAGGGAGAGGATGCATCCAAGAAGCGCGATGGGAAGTGGCAGGAGTTTGCCTCCTCCGTCCTGTTGTCTCTTCCTTTCATTGTTTGTCGGAACGTGTTTGAGGCAGAGTTTATCCGACGCTGTTCGCACCTCATCAGAGTGGATGATGATGCCAAAGAGGCGGAAACATCTCGTGTGCGCTGGCTGGTGAAGGAATATCTTCGTCATCATGGAAAGCCGGCGGACCAAACAGCTTGGGATGAGTGGAAACAAGACACAATTCCTGACATAACTCTTACCCTTGACGAATACAACCCCTCTGCTGGAATGCCCTCATCCCTTTCGACCCAGGCCCTATATAGTCGTACCCCGCTCCTAGGAACCGCCTCTCCCGATTTCAACACATTCTCTCCAAGGCCTGACGATCAGAAGATGGTCTCATTGCTTGAGGCTTTGAGTGGAGGTCAAGAACTGAGCAGGCCACGCCCAACTTCTCCAGGACTTCAGCAGCAAAACACCCTTCGATCTGGCTTCCAACCGACCAACAACAGGGGTTATGACTGGATGGCCACTCTGAATGAGGAAGGCCTGTCCCGAGACGTCCTTCTTATGCTGGATCCCTTCTTGATTGCACGAAGCTTAACCCTCTTCCATAGATCCGTTTTAGAAAGAGCCCCTGACAACTTTACCTCCGACTTCGCCATGGCTTCCGATGCTGACGGGCATGAGTCGTTGTCCTCATCATTCGCATCTCTCTTTGGGAGTGATGACCAGCCGCATTGGTTGACTAAGCTGCTGCTGCTGCAAATCCTAGGAGCGGACACATCAGGCGCCTCAGCTGCTGCTGCTACTCAGCTCTCTTCACCAGGACGGAGGTCTGAAGATCGAAGTGTTCAGACGTCGCGGACGCATTCAAGGTCCGAAGTCATTTCGGTTTGGGCACGCGTTGGGGAACTTTGTAGGGGTGCTGGGGACGACTGTTCGTGGCGAGCGATATCTGCTGCTCTCTGCTCTCGACCTGTCGCCAGGTTGGAGAAGGCATGGAAGAGAGTCGATCCTCAAGCTCTTGCCGTGGTTGAGTGGTGGGTATACCCCAGGGATAATGACCAGCTTCTCACTGTGAAGGAACCCCGGGTGACGCCTTGGGGAGGTGACACGAAGATTCAACTTAGTGAGGAGTTAGGGAAAGCAAGAGGGGATAGTGGAGATCAGATGATTGGTGTCGAGGCTTTAACCAAGGCCCGGACGGTGTTTGAGAAATTCCGCCGTTCATTTTCGCTCTGTCCAAGGAAAGTTTCGGTTCATGAAGATGAGATCGGTCATGATGTGCGAAGGCTGGTGGCTTATTGGAGTGACATGGCCCTTGAAGGTGGCGGAACAAGCAGCTTGGCAATCAAGTTCCAGCGGTAAGCCTGGATAATTTTACTTTCCTCTATGTTTGCTAAAGCGAACCGTTCAGTGTTGAGCAGTTCATGTCCCTATCCCTAGCGGCAGAGCCACGTCGTAAAGGCCTGTTTGAGCCCTATTTTTGGTCTCGAGGATCAAATCAGGGTCTCCAAACCTCACTGATTCCCTTGCTGTTTCCGGAGTCATGTCCGACTGTGACACTCGTCGACAGGACCCAACTCATTCGTGGCAGACTTGACAGCGACGCCACAGACATGCAACATCTGCGTCGAAATGATGCTCAAGACCGACATCAGTTGCAACGATTCGATATGAGCCAGGACTTTACTAAGCGTCTCATTCTAGGCCAAGGTGGGACTGCGATATCGGTGTACAATGGTGATTTAGTCTTGGTTGTTCAAAGCGGTGGTTTTGAGGTGGACAGCAACTCGCGACCTTCTTCGCGTGCTCCATCTCGTCCCCCAAGCTCTATCGCCGATACACCGAGTGGAGTGTTGAGTCGAGCCCCATCTATCCGAGTTAAGCCTAGCACTGGTCACACACTGAACCGCAAGCCGAGTACACAAGGTTTAGACCGCAAATCCAGCATGGCAAGGCGCAGCTCTCTTCCCTCCGTGTCCCAAAAGCAGAATTTTGTTACCTCCGAACCGTCTTCGGATCCGCCTCTCCGCGTTGTCGTCCAAGCAGGCACACTCAACAATCTCGTCACTATCTTAGTCCACGGTTTACAACATATTTCAGTTTCAGTTGCAGACGATAATGGGGAAATGTCCCTACGGGAGGGTATGACCCGAGAACTCATGGTTGATCGTGCAGAGTTCGCGAAAGTGTGGTGGAACGTTTTTCGAAGTTTCTTTACCCCTCTTGTTTTCTTCGAGGTAAAGTCAAACCCAAATTGTGGTCTGCTCTATTCTTACTCGCGATTCCGTCCCACAGTTGTTACGAAAGCTCTACATCAGCTCACAACCTACTGGCTCATCTCCCAATGCAGCCGAATATGTCCATGTGGCAAGCAAGCGGAATGAAGCGCTCATAGCGACCAAGGAGTGGCTGACTATCGGGGGCGGTGCCCAGGACATTCTTGACGATATTCAGCTATTCAACGCCGTTCGGTCATTCTTGGAATCAGCTGATGATCATGTCTTTCATCAATCGGCATCTTTTAAGGAGCCATCAGCACAACAAGCCTGGAACACCCTTTTGTCCACGAAAAAGTCTCTTGATGCCGCTTTCACCTCCCAAACCATGAGGCCTCCTATCACCCGTGGCCATGCTCAAAAGTCTGCCTTGAATGGATCTAGGACTAGAAAAATGACCACCACGCGGGAGCCGCCTGATATGGATCGCATGGACCCAGAGGACTTAGTTGACAATCTGGATGGCATGGCCTGCGCTGCCTTCAGTAACGTGACAGAGGAGGTTTGTCTTTCTGCTTTCGTCCCCTGGTCTTGACTAACTTCATTCTGAAGGATTTGTACATCACTGCTGATCTGCTTGAGGTACAATCTGCGGACCGGATAGGCTGGTTCTCTCTTCGAGAAACTGGGACCTCCGAGGAAACAATCGACATCCAAACCATCTATTCGCATATCCAGGAGGTGGAGCCATCGTCGATGATATCGGAGCTCACTCAAGAGGTATTATATCGACTTTTGCCACCTGGAGTTCGAAGTTGCATTCGGGCCTATGCCATCATACGTAAATGGCTCATTTCCAAAATCGTCGCCCCAAGGCTTGGTCTTCGAGCTAGACAAGCACGAATGGAGCTCCTTGTTCAAGCTATTGAAGTGGCACGTCTTCGAAATGCCGAAACGCCTACGAATGCTCAGGTTCTACAGCCTTGCGTGCGTTCCTTTGTCGAGACGGTGATCACTTCAGCTATCTTGAGCGTTGAGAGTCGCATGCACCATCGTGCATGGCAGAGTGTAGCTCACAGTAGGGGCTGTCAGTGTGATTCCCTTCCATCGCTCCTTCTACGGCCGTACATTCAGGATACAGCTTCTCGGGATTGCCTGACTGTTGACATGGGGTGGCTGCTTGAGCGAATGCTCGAGGTAATCGCAACCCCAGATGTCATTGACTCCTCTTCACAAGAGGGTCAAAGTCTCGTCAACTTTGACAAAAGAAGGTAATGTCCCATGGTTCTCTTATGAATGTCCCTTAATTATTCTTCCTTCAGGCATCTTTGCAATCTCATCAGTAAAGCCTCCCTACTTCCTGCATCACGCAAGAATCCCTCTTCAGACGAGGCCAATAGGCGTGGATTTGAGCGCCTCAATAACGTTGAGAGGGAAGCGATTCACTTGCAGTTCGATCATCGTGGGATTAAGGAGGAAGCGACGAGGGAAGCCTCTCAACCCGGTATGAATGGCCCCCACTCAGCCAAGAAGGTCACTCGTCCGTTCAATAGGATAATCGTCTTACAGATGGAGAAGAATCGCAGGGACAAGAACCTCCGTTCTCGACTTCAGAGAGAGAAGCTGATAGAACAATCGAAGAACGAGCGACGAGACGATCTTCTCAACAAAGCTATGCGGCCTCGAAAGGCTCCCATGACTAACCCTCAGAAACAGCACAGGAACAAGAAAAGCATGTCGGCGTTCTTAAACTTCATGCGCCCCATTTCGAGTGCTTTTGGCGCTGATATACATCCTGTTGGCTTGAAAAGGACTGCGGCAGAGCTTAATTTTACGACCACTGGGAAGCCGGCACTGGTTCTCAGTGTGTTGGATGCACGAGTGGCGCAGTTCATTAACAATGAACGGTCGTATACGTTCCAGCTGGATACCGAGGACGGAGGGCATTACTTGCTGCAGGCCATGAATAAGCGTGAGATGAACAAGTGGCTTGAGACCCTTACCCGTGTTATGAGGATGGCTGCGAAGCGTCGACTTACTTACATTGGAAACTCCCCCAAGCCGCAGATCGCAGATCATATTCACGATCGTCCAATTGTTGCATCGCGGGATCCGAAAGCAGGTGAGGCGACTCTTGTTGAAGGGATCTGATGTGGTCGCTAAATGAATTCTATTTCAGTCTTTGGTGTCGAGCTTGAATTCTTACTTCAGCGAGAAGCTGGTGACGAACAGATCTTGCCTGGGACAGTGCCGAGAATTATCGAGCAGTGCTTGATGGAAGTGGAAACGAGGGGTTTGAGCGAGGTTGGGATATGTATGTTTGCGGTTGATTTCGCTCATATCATCAGAAGACTAAGGTTACTCTCTCCAGACCGTATTGCAGGAGCTACTTCCGAAATCAACACGTTGAAGGAAGCTTATAATCGCGGGGACTCACCCATTCAGCCATCAACGGATATTCACGCCGTTTGCGATCTGGTCAAGTCGTGGTTCCGTGTCTTGCCAGAACCTGTATTCCCATCTTCGTCTTATCATGATGTTATGCAAGCCATGAGTGAGTTACAGTTGTCTTCTTCTCTCAACGGGGCTTATCTTTCCTTCAGGGTTGGAAAATCTGGATGAACGACTTGCCAGCGTCCGTAATGTTGTTCAAGCACTACCACAGGCCAACTTTGACTTGCTGCGACGAGTCTCCGAACATCTCGATCGGTAATTGCCATTCCTGCTTGACCTTATTCATCCTCTTACGTCTTTGTAGGGTCACCGACTTTGAGGAACACAACCATATGACGGCCGAAGCTCTCGCGATCGTATTCAGCCCCAATCTTCTGCGAGCACCCCAGAACGATTTCGTAATGATTTTGAACAATATGGGTCACTCGCACAAGCTCGTCAAAGCCTTGATCACTCATGTTTGTCTCTTCGTTTTTTGACGCACATTGCCCGTTAACCCAGATTTGACAGCTCCACGTCATCTTCGATGAAGCTGATCCGGAAGCTGAGATTCACTCAGAGGACGAGCTTGACTCACCAATACTTGAGGAAGATGAAGAAGCGTATGAAGAGGACGACGACCCCCAGACCCGGATGAACCAGCTCACTGGTTCAGATCAGGAACAATCACCGCACACGCACACTGGTGACTCCGGAAACCCATATACCCAGCCTTAATACCCTCCCTTCATCCATCCATCCACACGGAACCCATCCTTCTCTTTCTCTCATCTTTCTAGTACCCACCCCAACCACTTGGACGTATGTATGTATATCCATCCGCATGATTCTTCAGCTTCTTTACCCTTTATTCCACCCCGTTGCTTTCGATTCCTATGGGGCTTGTTACATACCTTAACCTTCTGTGCTTATCGGACGATCACGCGCAATAAGCATTTATTCGTCTCTTACCTATGCCCTGTCACTTATCATAATTAATCCCATGTTGCCTTTGCATAACTTACTATTTTTTTGTGGTCGCTACAACGGACACGTGTTTCAACAGTCAAAATTGCCCAAAATCTGTCTAGATGAGCGAAGCGGTCCAGAGCGGATTTGTCTCACTCTGGACCGTAAAACGCGTGAGCGACAGTGGTCGTCGTCCGTATCAAGTGAGCGTGCATTTCCCTCTGCTGGGTAGGATGAGCCGGCGCGGCCCGTGGGTTGAGCACGGTGCACAGCCACGAGGATGAGTCAAGTCAATTCCTAGACCACATTGATCATCCTCTAGTTTCATCTCCGTGCGGCGACTGTTCAACACAGACGGGTTAACGAGCGGACTTCCGACCCTTGTGTCTGCATAAACGATGTCCTATCTCGAAAATGCAGTCATGGACGATTCGGCCCAGCATCCAGCAGATCCCCTCATGATCGCAAGGCTTGCGCAATTCCCGAAGGGCGGAGCTGCACGCAAATCGCTAGAGGACTGGTTGAGCGGTTCGACAGGGCAGCGATGGGTGGGCAGGGTCAATGTGTCGAAAAATCTCATTCAAGATGGTCCGCCGACGACTTACGATATGGACGAGGTCAGAGTTTTGTTAGGCACCCATGGTGATATCAGAAAAAACTTGTCCAGCAAAGGGATCGAGGCCGAATTGTTGAAAACACTCTGCGGCGATCCAAAAGAATATCATGTGCAGCCGTGTTCGGATGATTCGCTGGTTTATCTTCTCAGCTTAAAGGATATTGATTTATTAATTGGGATGTGCCATCTAAGTATGCATTCAACTCATGTCGACTCTTTAAAAAGCTCTGACATCACTACCGCAGTAAAGATTGACAGCTACGATTCGATATCTCCATCGCAACCCCTCAACAGGTGAGAATTAGACAGTGTTTCATCTGCCCATCAGTTAACTTAACATCTGCTCATTCTCAGCAAGGCTGTACGCCTGGATCGTTATTTCAAAAAAATGTACACTGGACCAGGCGTCCAGTGGCTGAAAATGGCACTTCCCCGGTATATGGAAATGTACAATCGCGATATCCATTATGGGAAAACGATCGTTGTCCTTCAAAGTAGCGGAACGGGAAAGTCTAGGACATTGGCTGAAATGGCGAGCTCGGTGCGCATTGATTTATTTCAGAGTTTCGTGGTGGCTCATCCATATCAGAATCCTCAAGAGAATTGGGGTATCAGCATTTGTTTTCGTGGACTTGGGTCGAAGGGAACACCAGTTGCATTGGATGGGTACCCACTCGGCGATAGGTCTGCTTTCGGCTGCCTCGATAGGCTGCCAAAAGACGTGATGATGAAGCTCAAATGTGTGAAGGTATTTACGTTCAATCGTCAGTTGGTTGTCAGGGTGCTGATGCTCAACAGAGCGAAGAGATTGCGGCTGCTTTCATGGGGGCTCTTTTCGGCGTCGTGCATGACACAATCATGGATGCGAAACGTTCCTCTGATAAACACAAGGAAGCTTTCGATAAATCTTGGGGTATTTCTGAAGTCGCCCACCAGGCCAACGCGCCACGCGTTAAGAATTTTGAGAAAGTTCGTACCAACGCCATTGCCTTACTTAAAGAACATACAGAGGAGATATTGGATGCACGCCGCTTTGCTGCACCAATGGTTTTTATCACGCCTGATTTGCAGGAGCCAGGGGGTGAGTTGGAATTGATGTATTCACGCATTGTTGTGTTTAATGAAAGGTTTAGGGACTGCCACATGGGTAACAAAACTGTTTCATATCCTCGTCACCAAATCTGCAGAAACTCTAGACAACGACCGGCGCGAACTAGAATTGTCATGCTTCACGTTCACGCTTGATGAATGTAATCAAATGAACTTTGATCACAAGCCACATCCAAACAAGAAGGATCCTGATAACCGTATCACGCTTCCTGCGATGCAAAGGGTAATCAAGGCTAGTGAACAATTCAATTTCTGGTTTTTCATGCTGGACACGATCAATGGACTTTCTGACGTGTACCCTGACACGCCGGCTAAGAAGGTAACATCATCGTTTCGCCTACAGTCAGGTCCTTTGAAGCCCCTTCCACCCTGGATACATATGCCTCTCGACGTCATGGTACCTTCGCCAGAGAATTTACCCAAGACGCCTCTAGAAGCTCTCCTACTGGATCACCTTCGGGTGTATGGTCGACCGGTGTGTAATCCTGAATCATTTGATGAGAGGGCATTTGCGCTGATCTTTGACCCCAAATTTTAGCTGTGGTCGACATTTGATGATAATGAGATTGTGTATGAAGCTAGTAGGAGACTACTCTGTGAAGAACCTCAGCATTTCCCCAGCTACAACTCCGATAAGAGCGATTTGCAGGTCCTGGCCGTGCATTCGACTCGATTCATCCTCAATCTCACTGCCGAGGGTGCTGCGAGCCGAATGGCCATCGACTCCGCGAATAGCCATCTACGTGTTCTAACTGACTACAACGCATCAACACGAAGGTTAAAATCTGAAGTTTTGTCTGAGCCTATCTTGGCTATAGCTGCTGGCGACAAACTCCTCAAAAGCAAAGAAACATACAAAAAAACTATGGGGATTCTCATCGAGCGACTCCTCCTGGACATGAAAGTCATTTCTCTAGGCGAAAATGGGGACCTTTGTGGTAGAATGATCCTCATCGTCAATCGTGATGCCACTGTCCATGCAGCAGGGGGTCAAATTTGTGTTGTTGACACTGTGAAGCACAAGATCGTTCAGGGACACCACAATCAAGGGGGCTATCTGCGTCAAGAGGGCCATCTGCGACATGCTGTACGACCTTTCCTGTTGCACTCATATCTCCGCCAGCTGGTGGATCAGAAGGAGCTTTCCCAGGTCGATGGCGCCTATGACTCCGGCTTGAAATGGGCGTCGAAGGTCTACATGAACTTTACGCATTTTGTCCAGCTCGAGGACTTCATCGAATCCGAACTTTCGTACGAGTTTGCCCTTCTGTGCTGGCGGCGAGGTCTGGCTTTGCAATGTGTCGGTAGCCAACCTGTCATTGACAAGCTCCTTGTCGGTTACCGTGGCGACCTTTCAAAGCCTTTCGATCCCAAGATGTTCGTCTTCATCGTGGTGCACACTAAGAACCGGGTTTCGGTTGCACGGTCGGACTTGATCAACACTATTACCTGCCCATTCCTCACGTCCGGGTCGGAGCGCTGGAAACCAGAGTACATGGTAATCCTGATGGACCTAGGCACCACGCCTGCCGACTACGGGGACGCCGTTCAAGTTACCAAGTGCAAAGCCGTAAAGGGCTGGCAGGCCTGGTCTGCATTTAATGAAATTGAAGAGTATCCGGCCGTTCGCATCAACATGCGCGGATTACGACCCTACCTTTCTCTGCACGAATGGGCGCCTCAGGTGCTGCAGCTTGGATCGAACAGGGGGTTGGCCGATTTCTCGAGCTTTAATGAAGAGTTTGAATTCACGAGGAATGCCACTAAACATGCATTGACCTTGTCCGACGAAGAAACGCTAGCCAAGCATAGAAAGTTGTTCAAGGGGGATGTCTGAAGAGTTATAAAAAGCAATTCGTGTATTATATTTTATTTCACTGACAGCGCAATTCCACTTTTTGTCTTGTCAACAAGTTACCATCCAAAAACATCCTTGACTCGGAAACCATGCTCCTAGCTCGTTTGCTCATGCCAATGCAGCCATCAACGTTCAACCATATCAACCAGCTCGGCCCGTTCGTCAGGGGCAGGGCCAGGTACTTTCGAACTCAAATGACGGCTGAATCCTGCGCAGCCCGAGTGCAGGCTTTCGAAAATCGATGTTGAGAAATTGAGAATGCTAGAAGGGCCACGATTTGGGGCTGCTTTCAAATTGGGGGAGCATCGCTGAAGTGAGTGTCCACATACTCCTTTTATCAGTGTGAGATGTGCACAGCCGACTTCAGACTTTACTTAGACGCCCTAGACATGTGTGTGCCTGTCTCTGCACAGCACGCACACCAGCGCTCAATAAATATCACAACAGCCATCTGAAAGGCTGATAACGAGCGCTTTCGTTGCTGTCTTTCCCACAACGACGACGATAATTTCCTCCTTAACGACGACCTCTTCCTACCTCGAGTCGCACCCTCTACTACTTCTCAGATGCCGCCCGATCCTGAAGCAAACTTGAACAGAGGAAAATCGATTCGCGGAACATCATTAGCGAGCGCACAGGCCGCTGCTCAACAACAAGTTAAGAGCTCGAATGGGAATCGAGGATCAACAACTAATCGCTCGCGATCAAACCAGCCCGACCATGCCAATGCCCAGGCAGGTGAGCTCGTGAACCCAGCCAAAGACGAGCAGACTACTGGTGGAGATAGAGCAGGCTCACCGAAGAAGCCGAGCACGAAGTCACGATCGAGGACCGCTGATTCTTCTTCGTCTTTGGACATTGCTGGTCAAGCGCCTGTGGGAACCCCCATTGCTGCCCCATCAGGTGCGCAGGCCATCGGGGCTAATCCGACGGCCCGATCATCGGGTGCCCCAGCTGCGACTGGGAAAGCAAGTGGGGAAACGGGTGACGCTGACGCGACTAACAGGGAGATGGTCGATCTGGGAAAGCCGACCAAGCCTCTGAACACTTACCCTCCGGGGTGTAAATCCAGCACCCCCGTATTATCTTCCTCCGATCCCAGTGTTCGCCTCGTTAAGTCTTCGTCTGCCAGTGCTCAGGCCGAGCGCCAGAAGGCCCAGGCTGCAGCTGCAGCGGAAGCTCGGGATCGAGCGATCGCTGAAGCAGCAAATACCGGGGAGGGAGGGCCAGATAGTACTGCGCCTCCAGGTATAGTCAGATCGGAGGATCAAGACCCACTTGCACTCCCAAGGCGTCTTCCTGGTCTCCCTAACTCTCGGTCGAGTACCCTAAACTCAGTACCACCATCAGAAGGCGTTGAATCTCAGGAACAAGATTTAGGTGATGCAGAGAACGTAGACTATTCAGACGGTGATTCCAATGACGACTACGGCGAGGACGAGGACATATACGCAGACGCTAGGGCGATCAGCGAAAAGCTGGCTACTCCAGGCTTCAAGGAGTCGCTAACTCAGGAGGAATATGACGCTCTTCGTCATCATCAGTTCCAGCAACAACAGCAGGAGGCTAATCGTCAAATGTACATGCAACAACAGCAGCTACTCGAGGTGGCTGAGGCAATAGCGCCAAAGCCTGGCAGCCGCTCTACAACTAACATGTTGGGAATTGGCGGGAGCAGCGACAAACCCCAGTCATCGAAAGAGAAGCAACTGCGCAGAAAAATCCTAGAACTGGAGTACGCATGGCAACAGGAGAAGACCTCTCACGTAAACCTGGATCATCATTACAGGAAATTATGGAATCGCGGGAACGCACTGTCGGAGGAGCTGCAGAGATCTCAGCATCAGGTCCATCGCCTACTGGACGATGTCCGGAGCTTGACGCATGAACTTGAGGCTGTCAAATCGCAGCTTGCGGATGCGAAGACGCTTTCGGAGGTTCGAGGCAAGGAGCTGAAGGGCGCTCAGGTGTTCCTGACTAAAGCCGACACACTGTCCACCACGGATGTTGTGCAGAAGGTTAATGCACTGAACGAGGAGATATTCCAAGCTGCTGCTCTTCTTGGAGAGATGCTCCGGAATACGGAACGACCGGATAGGACACAGGAAGAGGTCACGGTGGCGTTTGAGAAGGCTGGGTGGATGGTGGGCGAGCACATGGCCAACATCCTCGGTGCAGAGTCAGTGAATCTCCGCACAGACCTCAACCCGCTCCTCGTCCAAGTCGTGTTGCAGATCGCCATCACTACTTGGTGCAAGTTTGTGGTCTCTTCGTGGAGGCCCAGTGATAGCAGCGTGGCAGACTTTTTGGCAGCTATCTACTCCGAGATTCGCCAAGTTGGTGAGTAGTCTTCAAATATCTTGTAGTATCCCAATGATCTGATACGCTTTCTCGCTGCTGCAGAGGATCAAGCCGTCTCTGGTCGTTGGCGCTCAATCACGCGAGCCCAACTCCGCTCTTCATCCGATGACTGGACAGGAAACCTCATGGGCGGGCTATTGAGCGTCCTCGTCATCGCCGGCTGGTCAACTCGTGAACTAGACCAACAACACCAATTCGAAAGGCGCCTTCCACCCATCTTCAAAGCCGTACAAGACCTACGCAAAGCTCTCGGTGAAGACGTCACCTCCATGGACATGGAAGTTGCCGTCATCGATGCTGGCGATCCTTTCAACCCTACCTACATGGAAGATGGGTACGGGGACGCCAGAGCTTCGTCTGGGAGCGGGAAGAAGGCACCGGAGAAGGTTAGTGGGACGACGGGGTTGGGGTTACACAAGATTTCGATGAGGCAAACGTCGAAGGGCCCGGTCGCGCATTCGGAGATGGTGTTGTTCCCCAAGGTGGTTTTGGAGGGTACGGTGAAAGAGGCAATGGATCCTGCGCCTCCGCCTGCGTCGAAGTTGAGGAAAAAGCCAAAGACAGATAGGCCTGGTAATGGAGGCGGAGGTGGTGGAGGAGGGGCTCCTGCTACGGGTGGTACTGGCGCTGGTGGTATGTTGCAATCTGCAAGCAGCTTTGTATCCAGCTTCATCTTTTAACTCTACTGACTGTGTATACCCCAGATACCCGCAAATGATGATTATATTGAAAAAGAGACACAAGGAAATGCCGGAGTGTCATCGTCAGTTGTACATTAGTCTCTCTCCCTCTCCCTCTTGCTGCTTGTTGTGGATGGAACTACTTGTTCTTCCGATTGAGAATTGTATTCATTGGACATTTTGGCTGGACGATTCGTAACCACTCCCGAGTCTTGAGGGGCAGAATACAAAGACTTGCTTCGCATCGCCACTGTCAAAAATTCTGGTCACTAGTACAGAAGGGTTCTATACATGTCTGTCCTTCGCAAAATTAGGATCGAAGTGAAGAAATCTTTCGGAAATCCTTGAACAAAACATCAACTTTCTTCCGTCCTGATTCTCTTCGTTTGTGTCCCTGTACGTTTCTCCGATGTAAGCACTTGTAACATTGGGGGATCGACCAAAAGATACATACCAGTGCTCGGCCCAGCCTCCCCACTCCGCATCGCATTCCCTATAAGCAGGCGTCAAGAACATTCCACCTGTGCGAACAGAAACCACAACAAACCCATCTGTGTTGTCCTCACCCTAGAGAAATAAGGCTGCACAGGTGGAGGCCTAGGTCTTGACGGTGTAGGCTGGCTTAGCCGGCGAGGCTCTGACTTGTGATCTGGCTCAGGCGAAAGTTCCCGTTTCAACCTTTGACCAGGCCCGCGAAGTTGAGTTTCTGGGGCACCAAAATCCGTTGCGAGCGTTGCAGATCGTGAGCGATCGCGACTTGGAGTGGCGTTAAATTTGCTTGGTTCTGTGTCACGTTTCAGCGACGAGCGGCCAAAATCTGTTGCTAGTGTTGTGGATCGTGAGCGATCGCGAGGGATGTTATCTTGGAACAGATACGATGCTGGAGAAGAAGGGGGCGATGGACGAGAGACTGAGCGACGATCCTGTTTTGATGAGCTGTGGATCGTGGTTGGCATGATTTGATATTCTTGAGGTTCAGATTTCACCGAGACGTCACGGAGTTCTTGATTGAGTTGCGACTGTAGGTAGCCAACTCGGGCTGCATGGAATTCATTGCTGGGATCAGATCCTGGTAGTCCTTCGTTCGCTTCTGAAGCTGAAGGACCAGATTGATCAACCGATTGAACGCAGACATTAAAGGTGTGATGATCAACTCACGTTCCGCCTTTACCATTACTACATCAGGTTGCCCGGACGAATTGTGCGTCTCGGATGGATGGGCCTGGAGCGATCTAGCTAGAAGTTCGAGGGCAGGATCAGAGCCTGCTAGAGTTTCTACTGGTAATATGTTTAATCAGTATTATCTTACGCGTGATGTGGTAGAGGTAAAAAGCTCACAGTCACCGTCAAGGGAAACGACACGTTCTGGAACTGCCGTGAGGGTATGTGGTTGGGACGGAGCAGAGGGAGGTATGACTGAAGAGAGGAAATCTTCAGCTTCAAGGGAGTCCACTGCTGAAGTTTGCTTTAGATGTTCAGCTAGGAGGGCATGGAGTTCATCGCTGGGATCAGGTCCTGGCAGCTGGGTGGTCTCTTCTAGGGATTGATTAAGCAATTGAACGCAGAAATCAAAGGGATAATGATCAACTCACCATTTCCGTCTTGAGGTTCCGCCTTGACTGTTACATCAGGTTGCATGGACAATTCGCTTTCCTCGGATGGATGGACTTGGAAGTATCTAGCTAGCTCTTGCTGGAGTTCGAGGGTGGGATCGGAACCTGGTAGAGTCTCTGCTGCTAAACCTTTCTTCAGTCATTCGTTGACACAGCCAAGGATGGGAAGGGGCTCACAGTCGAAGGAAAGGTCCCGCGGTTCAGGTTTCACGCGTACTGTAGCTGGAGGTGGAGATGCCTCGAGGATGTGCGATTGTAATGGAACAGAAGCAGGAGGTATGAATGAAGAAAGGAAATCTTCAGTTTCGTCCACTGTTGGAATGGGATCAGAAAAACCTCGTAGCCGCAGCGCTGTGAAACATACTGGGGTTTTGGCGTAACCCACCATATCCACCGACATCTCTCCGTTCCATAGGCGTCTCAGAACGCAACAGGGCAGCTGCCACTTCCGCTAACATACACAACAAGACCAAAGATAAGCGTCTGCTTGGAAGCCAAACGAAAACACGAAATCCAGACCTTCTTCATACGGATCCATCTTCTTAACGATAATAGGATCTGAAATCGGCGGTCGGACAGGCGCAGAAGCTTTGTGTTCCGTGTACAACGCATGAGCGGGATGTGCAGCTGGGGGTACGTAGGGCTCAAAGAGACCTGAAGGAGGGTGTTCTGGTGCTGTAGCTGAGGCTGGGGGCGCAGAGGTTGACGCGCTGGTTGAAGAAGGTATCGGTGCTGGTGCGAGCTGAGTCGGGGGTGGTTTTGACATCCTTGTTGGAAGTATATCTTCAGTTGGGGGACGAGCTGGGTATGGTGGTATGGGCGGATTGACAATGGGTGTTGGAGGTCGCACGAGAGGTTCAAGAGGGGGAGGCTGCTTTTTGACCGCTATAGCCCACTTCAAGTCCATAGTTGGGAGAGGCGCGGGTCCTGGACGTGGGTATGGCGTTACCACTTCAAAGTCCTCTGAGATTTGGAGGTTTTTGATTTTGTCGCTTGGTTTGCCTTCGTTCCATTCTGTAATGACCATGTAAGCGTAAGTCTTTACTCTTTACTTGACTTGACTTGGAGAAAGAGAGAGAGAGAGAAAAGACGCACGATGCTTGATGGGATTTTCGAACCTTGCGTAGTTGTATTCGTAGAGAATAGAGCGTTGTTCATTGTTGGTGTATAGAACGGGTTTCAAAAAACGGTTCCACATGTGTGTACCTAGGCATGGCTCAATGTCTGTATCTGCATGGAACCTTACGATGATATTTTTGTGCTGTACCGCAACAAGTTCGTAAATTCCCATTGATATGAGTTGGTAGAATGTGATACTTACAGTTCCTTGCCAAAACACTTGCTTGACCTGCGCCAGGTTACTCGTTTCTTGACGATCTTTCATCATGAGGTAAAACCAGGTAGCAACTCGGTCGATAAATGCTTGGTCGCCGACGCCTCCTAACGAGCACCAGGGATTGACCACGAAGACATACTTCTTTGGCGCTGTATCTTTTGGCTTTAAATCAGTGCCTTGGTACTGTTTAGATAACTTTGTCAAATCGTGAACGATAGCTGGAGAAATGGAAAGCTACCCTGGCCTTGTTCTTTCCCATTGAAAGGATGTTTGGAGAGAGATGCGCTATCCCAGGACAAGTTCTTTCTGGGGGTCCTTTTACTATACATCATGATAAGCTGAACTCACGACACGATCAACTTAACAAAATTCGTCGCTCGAGAGTAAGGTTATGCTTGATATTGTTGCAATAGATCGAAATACAAGGGTATCGAACGGGTATTAGGTGGAAGGAAACGAGTAGGTTCCCACGTTCACCATCATTCAACACGATGGCAAAGGTCAACTGGCCTATGTCCAAAAAAACCTCCAAAAATCGTCAATTCAATAAAGGTAGTCCCCGACAGGGGTAACAATTATTGCTGACCTTTACTCGTAACACCGCCCCGACAATATGATTTTGCACCGCAAATCCGCACAACCAACGAGCGGCAGTGTAGACAGGCGCCCATCAGCTTGCGTGATTAAGTCACTCAACGTGCAGGGGTCGTGGTCGTTCCTGTAATTTGACGCTGGGATATAAGACCCTCTGAAAAGAGATGCACAGCTCAGACACGCTGTGAAACCCATCAGCTTGCTGTTACCATGTCCTCCTCTCGCTCTGTATACCGTGGACCCCGTCGAAAGCTTGTGTTGGCCTTTGATGTTGGCACGACCTACAGTGGAATCTCTTATAGGTGGGGTTTCAATAATTGATAGGAAGCCTTCAGAAAAACTAATCACCTCTTGATTAGTGTTCTTGATCCTGGACAAATTCCAGAAATCAAAGGAGTAACAAGGTGAGAAATGTCGAGTGGCTTTGGGTGGCGAGTGTGGGGACGGTGGTCATTTGGAAAGTCCTCTGCAGCGAGTGCTTGACCTCTTATCGCACGCTCATTGTGGTCCCTCATTCGGACATTCAACCCACCCTCTTCCTTTCTGACCTACCTATTCTACTCCGATAAGCTACTAACGCAACCCAAAGGTTCCCCGCCCACGAACAAATCAGCGGAGCCTCCAAAATCCCCACCATAATCTACTACGATCGAAATGGCAAAGTCCGCGCAGTGGGTGCAGAAGCCATGCGCGAGGGGATTTACGAAACAGCCGAAGACGAAAATTGGATAAAAACCGAATGGTTCAAACTCCACCTCCGCCCGAAAACCGAAGCTTCCCGACACATCGCCAACGAAATCCCCCCTCTGCCGCTGAACAAAACCGTCACGGAGGTGTTGGGTGATTTCCTCAAATACCTCTTCGAGTGTGCGTCGAGTTATATCCAAGATACCCATGCGAATGGACCGGATTTGTGGGCTTCTGTGGAGAAGGATATTGATTATGTGTTGTCCCATCCGAATGGCTGGGAAGGGATCCAGCAGACGCAGATGAGGCAGGCTGCGGTGCAGGCCAACCTTATACCCGATACGACTAAGGGCCATGCGCGGATCTCGTTTGTGACGGAGGGAGAGGCGAGTTTGCACTTTTCGATTCAGAATGGGTTGCCTTCTGGGGCTATGAAGGTAGGTGGTTGTGGTGGATGTCTACTGGATTGAGTACGATGCTGATGTTTTGCTCGCCAGGAAGGAGATGGTGTGGTCATCGTCGACGCTGGTGGAGGTACAATCGATGTGAGCGCCTATAGTCGGAATACAAAGGAAGTCAAGGACTCTTTCGAGGAAATCGCTGCTCCTCAATGTAAGTCTACCACCATACATCTCTTCCGATACATTCACTTATCCTTCATCCTCCAGGTCATTTCCATGGGTCGGTCTTTGTCAGCATCCACGCCCGCCTCTTCCTCGACCGTATGTTCCCCCCTCTGACTTTGCCATCCTCAAACTGACATCCTTCAGAACTCCTCGCGGACTCACCGTTCATCGAGGATTTGGACCATATCATTCGATGCTTCGACAAAACCACCAAGCTCCGCTTCAGGAACATCGATGAACCACAATACATCAAGTTTGGATCTACCAGGGACAACGACGAGACTTACGGGATTCGCTTTGGCCAGCTGAAATTGCAAGGGTGTGTCCTTGTCATTCCTTCTCTCTGCTTTCCCTGTTGACGCTTCCGTAGAACCGATGTTGCGAAGTTCTTCGAGCCTTCGGTTAAGTGTATCGTCAACGCCGTCGTCGAGCAGCGCAAGTCGGCACATAAGAGTATCTCTGTGAGCTTTCCTCAGCTACTCCTTAGTTCTATCGCTCACCCAGGGATATGTGTTAGCACGTCGTCCTCGTCGGTGGTTTCGCGGCCAGCGACTGGCTATACAACAAAGTCCTCGAATCACTCAGACCCCTCGGACTCAACGTCCTGCGGCCCGAAAACCACGTGTACGTCTTCCTCCTCCCCTTCCCCTTTTCCACACAGGCTCACCCCTGCTTTCTCTCTCTCTCTCCTTAGGAACAAAGCAGTTTCAGACGGAGCCATCTCCTTCTATCTAGACCACTTTGTACGTACCCGCGTATCGAAAGTGACATACGGGAACTTTTGCCACATCCCATATGACTCTTCCGATTCCGAACATGTGAGGCGCCAGGGTAACACGTTCGTGAGTGTGTCGGGGTCTAAGAGGATTAGCGATACGTTTGATATTATCCTGCCTAAGGTTCGTGGTTTCGTGTTTTGTTATGTGAGCTGGGGGAAAGGATGCTGATTGTATTTTAGAATACCCAAGTGTCAGAAGCGAAAGAGTTCAGGAAACCTTATTTCCGTGAATCGGAGAATAGGAACGAGTTTAAGGATGCATCGTTTTCGATTTGGTGTTATCGTGGGGCTGTGGCGGAGCCTAGGTGGAAGGACGTTGATACTGGTTCGTTCTCATCACCCCTCCTCTCTTTCTTCCCCGCTAACGTGGTGATGGACACAGATAATTACACCAAGATCTGCACCATCGAAGTTGACCTCTCTCACATCACACTTACGCCACGATACAAAGGAAAGGGAGAAAGGGGGCAATATTTCCGTTTGGATTATGACCTTGTTTTGTTGTTTGGATTGACGGAGTTGAAGGCCCAGGTGGCTTGGAGGGAGGGGGTACGTGTGCCTTGCTTTCTCTACTCTCCTTGCTTGATGTTGACTTTTGGTTTTGTTTTTTTGTGTGGTAGAGCGTTGAGAAACGGTAAGCCTCGTGTTCGCTCTCGACAAGAGAATTTGCTTGCTGATTTGGTGGAATAGGAGCGCCACGAAGATCGTTTATGACCCAGATATCACGCGTGATGATTAGAGTGTTATGCTTTTCTTGGATCCCCGACGAGTCTGTGAACTTGAGAGAGAATCGCTTCTGTAAATTCATGTAGTTGGAACGGCACTGTTTTTCCCTTGTATTATATTCATCTTGCTCGTTGTATGGTTTCAACATACGTGTTTCGCTTTGCACCCGAGCACATGGTCGGCAAAGTCCGATCCAACTTTTCCACTTCCAAGTATCGGAGATTATCCTGACTACCTGCAGCTATGATCTTCAAAGCTTTCATTAAACGGACAACCGTCGGAGCAACCTCGTAGCAAGAAAGGCCACCTGACGATCGTTCCGACTCCCCCATAATTCTACTCTATCTTCTTATTCATCTTCTGTTGAACTCCTTCGAGCAAAATATCCGCACCGAACAGAATGTTGATTCCGAGATCCTCAACCCGGGGCTAGCCATTCCCATGAACATCACGGCACCCATGTGCAGCGTGATGTAGATTCAGTTGACGCGATTGAACGGGATGCCGTACTGACTTTACGTGCACCTTGTAGGTTCGTGGGCGTGGCAGACTCCGCACCAGGCATAAATAATTTACGAAACGAAAGAGTTACACATTATGCGGGGATATACTATAAACTCGAAAGTGATCTAAAGTTTGGCAACCAGTTCCCTCGGCTGATTGCTCTTCCACCAAATATCGACCGCCTTGTCCGCGTCGTAACCAAACGACTCCTTGTTCTTGACCCTATCTCCCCATTGGTTCGGATTCCCTGCGCAGTCGTCCGCAGGTTCCCCCCGGGCCTCCTTCAGCGCTTCCTCCATAGCCGCGCGCATTGAGGCGTCCCTAGCCTCTTGCTCTGGCCCATCCGGGAGATGGAATATGTGTTGATTCTTTCTTGAATCCAACTGCGTCATTGTCGCTCGCGCGTGCCGGATGGTCTCGTATGCCCGCAGGAGCGGTGTGAGTTGTCTTCGGCTGGAAATACGGGAGAGGAGATTGCCAAGCACGGCTGCGTCCTCGACCGCCATTGCCGACCCCTGCGCCCTGTACGGCTGGAAAAAGATATCAGGTTCTTTCTTAATTATGGCCTGGGAGGACGTACGAGCATAGGATGGCAGGCGTCTCCCAACAAGCAAATCTTGCCTTCAGGATGAATCCAGCTGTTCAAGGGTTTCCGATCCAAAAGGGACCACAGTAGACTCGAATCGACCATGGCGAGCATTTTTTGAATTCTGAAGATTCTTAGCTTCAGCGAGAATTCCAAATCATCGGACTTGACCCCTTACCGAGGCTCGAAGCCAACAAAATCTGATCTCATAACGGCGACATCGGCAGGCCTGGCCGACTCATTAACACCTCTGCATGGGTGGATCATTACCAGATTATAAAGTTGTTTGTCGCGCTATATGATGGCCAGAGGTTCAGGAAGGGATTTGGTTCTAAAATTGAAATGACCCACGATACAATATCCAACGATGTGTCGTCCAGGACCCATCCAGATATTCATACTAGTTTCATCCACCAGTTGCTTCAGCTCTGGGTCCTTCATCATAGGACCCGTAGGAATGAGAGCCCGATACGTCGCATCCCCGGTCGGTGTGGGTCTATCAGGTTGACCAACAACGATGTCTCGGAGTCGACTGTTCAAACCGTCGGCTCCAATAACGAGGTCGGCTTTAATTATATCGCCGGATTCCAGGATTACAGCAGGCTGGGAAGGGTCGACGTCCCGTACTTTCGTATTCAAACGGATCTTCATAAACGGTCGAGCAAGGTCCAGCAAGATCTTCTGGAGGTCTGCGCGCTGAAGGGGCATTCAGTTGATAACCAATGGCCGGAACGAAAATGCAACACCCACATGGATGTTGTAATAGGGCGCGCCGTGGTCCCTTTTCATTGAATCCCCCCACTGCTTCCAGCCAACCACTTCGCCGTCATGGTCTATGAAAGTTATACAGTCAGCAAAGATACTGTTCCTTCAGCAATGACACAAACATCTGCGCATGCAAGCTCCCTGAGGAACAACTGCGACCGCTTTCAGCCTTTCCCCAGCGCCCCAGCGGATGAGGAGTCTCGACATGCTTGGTGTTAGTTGAATACCAGCACCGATGTCCCCGAGCTCCGAGGCGGCCTCGAGAATGGTCACTCGGTGACCTGCGCGTCCGAGAAGAAACGCGGTTGAGAGCCCGCTGATGCCTGCACCAACGATTATGACGTTCAGTGACAACGGTGCCTGCCTGGGCTGCGCTTGGGAGACAAACTGTGTAATAATGGTGGAGTGAGCTGGTGCGCGAGAGCAAGCATTCGAAGGGACAGACCTCAGTTGCTACTTGCTAGCGGGGTAAAAATTGTCAAAACTGGGGAAGTTGTGCAGAGAAGCATAGTGCGTACCATGTTGGTCAAAGGCTGGGGGATCGAGAGAACGTGTATCTTGGTTCCGATACGCGGGTATCATCTGGGTCTTATAAAGGGCGTGGGCCCCGAAAGGGCTGATACAAAATAAAAAATCGGAAGGCCACTGCTGTCTGTTTGTCAAGACTAGAACAGGGAAGGGGTGAAATTTCGGGTGCGAGCTGGGAAGACCTCGGACTTTCACTTGGCGATTTTATTATGGAGGGCTGGCTGTCCGGCCATTTTGCTTCCTTGGTTTTCTTTTGCGCTGGGACAAGACGGTGACCGATGGCGATTATTCAGATAAATATTGTTGATTTCGGGGAGCTGCTTTGGTACCTTTGATTCTCGACTTCAAGCGTCAAGGTAAGGTTTCAAAAATTCTGCCTGAAACCGGGATTCATTCTTGAAACTCTCAAGAAAAATATGATGACGCGTCCATCACAACGGTTACTATGCCATGATGAGAGATGGAACATTGCATACGGGGATAAAATTGAGTAAGTGCTGGGTGGAACGCGAAATCAAGATGCTCATTGCTCACATTCGTTTTGTGGATTTTACCTTTTAAGAACTCAAACCGCACATAGTAAGTATGTCAGGACAACCTGCAAATTCTTCAGATTAAAAGCATCATAACCGTGACGCCCAATCATTCTTGTGCAGCACCCAAATGGTCCTATATCTCCCAAATATCTCCCTCGATTTTGAAGATATAAGAACTTCCACCGGCAACCAGTCGATCACAACTGCTCCCGGATCTTGATCTTTCTCCAGTTTGTCAACAGAATTTCTCACGGAGTGACGTTCTCCTCAACAAATCCGTCCTGTCGCATGCGAGGCCCTCCGGTTCGCATGGCATTTCAAACTCCGTGTCTTGTTTTCGCTGCAACTTGAAGAGAGAAAAAAAATTGTCTCTCTTTCTCAGGCTTCCTGAAAATTGTACTTGCTGCGAAATAACATCGGGCCGTCGTTTCCATGTACTATTATTAATTCGCATCCTGGCAACACTCTTGCACTTCTCTGTCAAATGACCTCTGCTCGGGCATATCTCGGTTTTCTACTCTTGCCGCTATAGCTTATCTCGCCTTTATTTATGCATAGTAGTGTAGTCTATTACACTTTACGAAAAGGTTAAGAAGGCCAAAGCCCCGCCGATCATCATGATCTTCTGTTTTGAGAGCCCGGGGTCGGACATCACGGCTTGTTGGCCAACTTGAAGATCAGTGGACGCACCGACTGGGATTTTTACTTCACTTGTACTTCAAGAAAAAACCCCATCGGGGCAGCTGCTCATTCCAATTTCGAGTTTGTATCAAGTGCAATAAACTGAACAGTTTTTCGTTTTGTTTTTTGACTTTATCCAAACCTTTTGGTGACGAAATCCTATCAGATATGTCTGAATTTGATTTATTGGTATTCTAAGACAAACGCCTCCGACGCTCCGTTAGTAACTTTAGCCCATATCTGCACTTCCAAGGTCCTTTTTCACAGACGCAGTTTCCGATAGCAAAAATAAGGGAGAATCGTCTTTTGCTCTTATGGGATCTTCTGCAGACGAGGACACACCCCTCCCCGTGTGAAAACTTACGGTAAATTACTTATCGTTGTTTGCACCAAAATTCACCAGCGGGAAAAAAAGTGCAATGATCGAGACAGGTCCCAAACAAGACCGGTGTTCTAAATCCTGGGTTCGTCCCTTCCTTCCTCTTAAAGTTGTTGACCGCTTTGCGGATCAACTGACCCTGGACTCTTTCACCAAAGAAAGTCCGAGCCTGCGTGGCGATGTTGTTGACCCATTGCTCAAGCCTAGACCTTCCTCACTTTGACCATCAGGTTATGATAAGCCGAGGGTCGCGAATGTAGAACTTGAATGTAGCAGTAGTTTAGGAGGCGCAGGTGTAATTCCTTGAAAACTTCCTGATAGTTGGGCGGGCTGAAATTGGCATTTGAGAAGGCTGCACAAAAATCCGCGGAGCGCATTCAAAATGGTGAACATGACATAAAATTGAAGACAAAACGGGTCGCTTAGGAGACGGACATCCTGACTCCAATAGAGATCACGAAGTGGAGCTTCCAAGATTGGTTCCGGCTTGCTTTTGAGGTGCCAGAGGGTGCCAGACCCGCTTTTGAGATAACAGTCCCCAGAGTCGGGAGCAGAACCGGATTAACCAAATTAGAATAGAAGAGGATCGAGGCGAAACCGATGTTACGCACAAGCGAGGGTGATAGATGATTGCGCGCGTTTTGGCGTCGGTTACGATGGAGGAAGGAAAAAGTAGGCTGATTTTGACCGGTCAGTCGTCCACCCGCCAAAATACTACAGAGGGTGATATAATACTGAGTTATTAGTTGTTGCCTGGTGTAGAAACAACGGAAAACCGATTAGTTTGACGCGCTGCAACGGACATAACAGAACATCAAAAGCCTTTCACCGAGATTGCCCCTTTTCTTAGTCTCGTTCCCATCCGTTGTGGTGGTCGGCCCGACGGACCGTCGGAGATTCAAAATACACCGCAGAACGACCACCATAAGTTAATAACACTTGAGGCAGGGTCCAATGTGTGATCTAGGCAAAGGTACCTCCATAATTGTCGACACTTGTTGAATAATAAAGCTGATGTGCATCCCGAAAATATTGATTATCAAAATCTCAAATTGATGAACAATAAGAACATTGAGCACAACAAGTGGTCATTTCCGTTATTTTATTCTTCAACATAATCTTCAGCTCAGTGGTGTTGCCATGGCTACCAAGGTTATTTCCCAAAGAAATTGTTTAGATATGTAAATTGAATGTGTTCAACATTCTTATTGTTCTTCATTTTGTAATTTTGACAATTGATGTTTTCCGGATGCACACCAGCTTCTTTATTTTACAAATGGCCACAATTATGGAGGTACATATGTCCAAATTTGTCCTGAATATTCTTTGGACCCTGTCTCAAGTGTAACGTCTGGTGCATTTGGTACCCATCGAGTCACAGCATGACAAGCGGTAACATATTCTCACTACACCAATCCTGATCCAGGCCAGGACCCCCGAAAATCCTGCTAAATGGTAGATACCGATCCGGACAGAATTTTTCAAAATGAGGCGCTAGGATAGATACAAACTGGACAGGTTTTCGAAAAAATCAGCAAAATGCTAGATACAGAATCCGGACAGGCTTGCGAGAAGAATCAGAGGCTAGATACTAACCGGACAACTATGGTCGAATAAATTTGGCCCTGACTTGGGCTAGATACGCAGTTCAGACAACTTTTCGAAATTTTGGTCTAGGCTAGATAAAATCCGGACAGACTTCGCCAAAATTGGTATGGACAAGAATCTGGAAATCGGCAATTTCAGTATCTATCATTTAGCAGGATTTTCGGGGGTCCTTCCACATCAGCAAAAACCCGTGACTATTTTGATCACCTTGGATTCAGTTGCTACCAGACAACAAGGATCAAAAGGGCTCACAATGACCTTACAATGAGTGCAATCAGTTACCACCGCTTACATCGCTGAGGGATATTTTACAAGATACATTGTCATAGTACAGTAGCGGCATTGTAATGTTTCACAATAATTGCACGCATTGCCAATAGGCATCAGAAATGTATTTATTTTATCAGGTTGCAACTTGCAAGCCAATTAAAAGTGGATTTGAATGAAGATAGAATGTCGCCACAATCTCAATTGGGATATGCATACAGGAAGATTCATCTAAATATGGTTGCAGCCTGCACGGTACTAAATAGCCTACACTTCTCATGATCTTTAGCTGCCTGCGCAGTGCGCCCACATTTGTGCTGCCAAAGACGGTGTCATCTCCCTCATCTCTTGTAGAATCAAAACATTTCTTGGATAACATAGTTAAGTAAAGGATTGTATCAGAGTAAATCAACAATGCACATTGAAAGCGACCGATACAACCACTGGAGTAGGGGACCTTGAGAACACGTTCATAAAGAAGTGGAGCGGGAGGGTCACCTCGTGACATTCAGAGCAATTGCAACTGAATACCAGTATTTTGTGAGTATCAGTCGATGGTCTAAACTTGTGTTGTCAGTGAAAGCTACGGAAATGGAGTGAATCCACGTACCTTGAAATTGTGTTACCCATCCTATCGCCCATGGACAACTTCCTTCACATCGACATGGAGGCCCCACGTCACCAGCTCCAAATACCCCCACGCCCGGCACTCCCCCGACGTCACCTTCCTTCGTCGTCATCCAAAGGTCATGTCACATTCTCCAATACTTACCGCCCACCATATACTTGGCATGCGTCGTCAGGCGGCCAGGGTCTTCTGACTGCATTGTGCCACAGATGGGCTTCTGGAGTTGATGAATTTGTTGCGGTTTTGGTGTAAAGATTCTGCCATAGTATGCAATGTGTCGATGCCAATGTCATCATGAGTAAGTTTGTGCTGGCCAGGCACATACCCAATCATGAAGACATGGGGGGGGGGGGGGGGGGGGGGGAGCGGTAAGTTGGAAAGTTCACAGGTCCAAAATTTTCCGAATTTGGACGTTCAACATCGATGGGAAAGGCGGAGGGCTGATGAGATGGCAAGGAGGCGGCGCAATCCTGAGAGGAAGCTGGGCCTAGAGAGACAGTAGCTCTGTTGAGCGCCGTCGTACAGTGAAACATTTCGAGGCTGGGTGGTTGAGGTTTGAGCGAGGTGGAATGGGAAAAGGCAGCGCCACTGTGTTGGTTGTATCCGATCCTTCCCATGACTCTGACATGTTGAAAAAACACTTAAGTCCTGTAAAGTAGCAAGGAATGGTAAGGCGTGGGTGACATAGTTGCAACATCTACAAGCCATTTCGGCTATGGTGAACAGATTGTAGACGCATTGTAACGCGTGTTACATATTGTAACATCTCCCTCGGATTTCACCAGCTTACAATGTCTACCAGTTCCCAGGGTTTTTGCTGATGCAGGCCACGTCCAATGCACACAACTTGGTCTCCGGCCTACCGGTACCTATCAATATGACACGACAACCCATCCAGCAGTCGAACTCGCACTAAGCGGTATCAAACTGGACTATGTTGCTCACTATCTGAGCCCCAATCACCCAGCACACTCTTCCAATCATGTATGTCCTGTTCCTCTCCCTCTCTCCACTTGAGCTTGAACTTTCCTGATCCAGAACCAAAACCAGGCTCCTCCTTGAAGCATCCCCATCCGCACCTGTCGACTCTCCCTCATTGCCACCCTCTTTCTCATGCACCAAGTCGGGGCGCTTCTCGATAGTGTGTGCAAGAAAAGTCGGGGCACTTCTTGATAGTGCATGCATGGATCCATCCACCACACACTATGCGGGCGTTGCGCTCAAACTTCCATGCGCATCAACACTTCTCTATGTTCCTCATTCTGGATTTGGTGCATTGGGTGGTGATCTGGAGGAGAAGGGGATTTTTGAAGGATGGGTGGGAGGGGAGCGTTTTGGGTTTCCAAGTTCAAAGAACTGATTTGGGTTTTCTCTGGCTTGTATGGAGCACTATTTTTTCCATTAAAGCTCCTTATAAGAACAAACACTGTAACTACCGTATTACATCGTACAAAAGATCAGAGTATGTAACAGGTTTTGCGTTCACAAGCATTGCCGTCTAAGCAGAGTTGTCATCAGTAAATCGGTGAAGTTCCGATATGACCTTTTATTTCTCACGAGATATTAGTCAGATGTTGGAAGATCACAATCCCTCACAATAGCTCACAATCTGTCGCAATGCTTGTGTGTGCCTCGCAAGGATGCATGCAGATTATTGTAGTCTCGTAGCTGGACAAAATCATATATATATCATTTGTTTCCAATTGTGAGACAGTGTAATGAAGTAAGAAATTATCAGATTGCAGCCTTCTCAGCTCTTGACGAAGGCAAACACTTCTCGATAACTTCTCAAGTGATCAAGAGATAAATCTTGGATAGATCTGCCGTTGCCAGTGCATTTTGTGACTTTGGGCAGCGACTCAGCTAGACTCGCAAGCCAGTCATGCTCGCAAGCTCAATGTCACAATGTCACAGGACATTACGAGGCACATGACAAGAGAGGGGCGAGCTTGCGAGCGGACTGGAAACTCTTGTCGCCCTTTTGGCAGAGAGTCGATTTCCCCGCCAAACCAGAGGGGGTCACTTCAACAAAAAAGGCTTCAATTTTGAAAAAAAAAAACACCCCAAAGTTAGTATACGAAAGATGATTTTTACAATGAGTAGAACAAAAAAGAGTATAGAACTTTTTTTATCAAAAAATGAATTTGTTGACTTCGACGTTTTGAGGTCCGTGCACATCGTCCAAATTTAGCTCTGCTGTCCCACACATCCTTCCACCCCTTCCATATCCAATCTCCCCATTCCATCCTCTACAGGCCCTCACAGACGACTGAAAAAGCTGTCATATGCACTAGGTCCGAATGAAATTGAAGGTACAGCTGATTTTTGCACACCAATTGAGGTGGAGGGACCTGATTCATGATGTGTCGACAGACGGAGTCGCTTCGGCAAGGTAGCAGGCAATGCAGAACTTAGCATTTCCGTGGGTGCAGAGCGTTTAGAGGCAGTTGTGGTGCGTTTTGACCTTGCTAAACTAGGAATTTTGAGACTGACAAGCAAGTTGAACAGTCTATCACCGAGGAGGCTCCAACACGCCCAACATGACTCCACCAACAATGCGAGGTGCTCCTTTGTTTGTATCAGCCCAACAGAGGACAAAAGTTCACATGTTGGATCATCAAGCAGAGCCTGTGGAGCCCACATTGCCCTTGGATAAAGCTCGCACTTCACAGACCTGCGCCAGGCATACAACACATCTTGGACCAAGGCGACAGGTTCACCTTTCCTGATGGAACGTTGGCGAGCAGTGACAATCAGTTCGCTGGGGCGGGTTCGGTCAAAAAGCTTTGGGTTGCAGAGATCACAACATCGAGTGGGCGACACATCTGAGAACATTGGGTTAGTTCTCTTCACTCCGAGTACAGTAGTAGATCACTAACATGAGGGCTTATTCCGAAAGATTTTTGTCAATATCAGCCAACGACAGACCGTTGTTTGAATGTACCAATACAAACCCTCTCCCACCGCATCACCTGGAATCTCTTCGCGCTCTTCTAGGTGTGTCATTGTGTCATGAGCCCCACTGTATTGGCCACGCTTTGCACCATGCAACACCCCATAGGTTGGGCCATTTTTTGCTGGTCTTCCCTGGCCTCTGCCTCGACCACTATGGCCCCTCCCATGACCGCCGCAGGTGTTACGTCTCTGTGAGACTGATGCTGTGTTTGTGCCAAACTCACCTGATGATGCTGCAGTAGTACTAATTTCGAAAGCAGACTTTTCAACGATCATAACGGCAAGTCCTTCACGACCTGCAGCCTGGGCGGCTCGACCCGCACGCTGAACCCATGAGGAAAGATTTGAGGGGGCTTTCCACTGAACAACGATGTCGACATCTGGGATATTGCATCCCTATGTCATTTCAGTATCTGCTTTTCTGCATGCACATGAATGATACTTACCATGCCTGCAGCATCAGTGCATACAAGAATGCGAATCACTCCCTCCTTGAACAGCCGCAAAACCAATTTATGGTATGTTGTGGACATGGCAGCGTTATACGGACGGACAAGGCCCTTTGCTCGGAACTCCTCTTTTACTTGAGAATTGAGGTGATTGATTAGAGCTGTACCTCCTGCAATGTTGTCTGCGTAGATAAAACTTTTCTTGATGTCAAGGGGGGTGGTCATGTTGTCAGGTATGAGGAAGTCGAGGTCGCGATAAGTATTCATTGGGTGCTCCATAGCGTGAACAATCTGTGCAACATTAGACCGCTCATTACCCTCGTTGATAAATAGATATTTCTCTCGGTCAAACTGGAGTTTGTTGATGAGGTCTTCATGCACCCGTGGTGTTAAAGTTGCTGTCAATGCAACAATGGGTGTATCTCGGGGAAGAAATGCTCGAACAATTCCCAATGAGCTGTATTTCTTCCGAAAGGAGTCTCCCCAATGCGACACACAGTGTGCTTCATCGACAAAAACGGACAAGCAGTGTGAACCAAATTCAGGTTTTTGGAGGACACCATCTATGAAACGGCGGGAAAGCAGCATCTCGGGAGACAGGATAACAATCTGCCACAATCCAGACACAATATCCTGAGGAGAAATATAAGTGCCACACAAACCAGAAAATGCAAACCCAACCTCCATGACATCTTTTGTACATCCTCCATTGTTACTCTTGATTGCGACAGCTTTAAGTTTGAATTCCTCCTGAAAGGTTACCACCTTGCATTCATTCAGTTGTGAAGTTTTGATTGCAGAATAACATTTATCTTACCTGTTCTTCTTGTAAAGAGAGGAGAGGTGATACCATGAGGGTAACCTTTCCTGTGCTGGATGGCAAAAGATGTGGTCCTGCAGCAATTCCCGTTTTACCTGCACCAGTGGCTGCATGGAGCAATACATCCTGACTTAGAGCCTGAGCTCGCATTCCGGCCAACTGAAAACCCTGGGGTCCATTACCCCAGCCAGTAAAATGAGCTTTAACAAGCTCCAGAAGATGTTCAAGTTCTTTGTCAATAGCTTGCTGTTGCTCTGGATTTAAATTTGAAGATCGTGTGGGGAGAACTCGACGTGATTTGACTTTGTGTTGTGTTCCAGTTGGAGAACGACGTTGAGAGTTCACAAACGACGAAGGTTGGGGAGGCATGAGGGATGGTGACAAAGACGGAGGCAGAAATTGAGATAGCAATTTTTAACACTCTACATCCTACAAGGATAACCTCAACACCATCAATGTCCTCCACATCTCACCACTTTTATTACCCTGACTTACCACCCTCTGATCCACCAGATGATTCGTCCGACATAGGAGATCCTGGCTGGGGCATAGGAGATCCCAACTGGTGTCCATCATCTGACGACACACCTTTACAAGCATATGTCCGAGGTCAATCTGTTGAATCAAAGGAGTACCAAGTGCACAAAACCTCAGATGACATACCTCTACAAAGTCTTGTGAAAGGAGGTGGTGTAGGAAGTGCTAAAGAAGCACCATCCAGTGATACCCCCCATCGACCTTTGCGATGACTGCTTAGATCTCGTCCATGCCCATGGAGCTCGTCGTTACCTTCACATCCACAAGAACCATCAAGTGATGATGTATTTTATACTCCACAGACTGAGCGAAAGATTCGTCTTGCAGCATTGCACTGGAAACGTCTTGAGACACTCAAGACTAACAAGTTCTGCGCCACAGAGAAGAGGGCACTGGATGAAATGGAGAGTGCTGCACAGGGAGCAAGGGAGAAAGAGGCAGACCAAATGAGACATGTGGGAGTGTTCAACAAGGTCCTGGCTATCCTGCAAGAGAATCAGTGCACCTTGGCGGAATTTCTTGACTACACCTTTAATCCAAGCATCAGTCATGTATTTGACTGGCGTTGGTGAGGATTCTTCCAGGAAAAGTCCACTGTAGAGCGAATCTTGGGTTACTGGACATCAGCTGGTTATAGCAAAGGTGCAAGGCTTACAATGAAGGAGTGGGTGTTGGGACAGGCAAAGAAGATAGCTGGCCAAGAGGCGTGCACTATCACCGAGTCGGGGCTACTGAAGACAACAAATAAAGAAATAAACGAAAACTTTTTCTTCGATTACAGCATTGCTAGACTCACGCAAAACCTGCGAAGCCTGGCACCTACTTTTTTCTCAATAGCTGATGCATTCTCTACAACGTCTCGGCAGGAAAAGTCTCTTTCCAAGGGATGGGCTGAGAAGAAAAACATTGTGAGCAGCTCCGTGATAGTATCTTCAATCAGAACTTACTCACTATTAGTGTTTGAAAGTCCGGTTAGGTCCTGTTATTGGGTGCCCAGGGGCTCTAACCGAGACCGAGACTGGTTAGCCTTTGTCCCGAAACCTAAAATAACCTAACCGGACCACAACTAACCGGTTACGGTCGGTTATTTGCAGTTACTAACCAGTTAGGACCGAAAAATAAAGAATCGGTTATAACAAGGCAAATATGTTCATATGTATCTTGATAGATATTATTTCTGCATATTCTAGCTTTAAAACGAGCCCAAGAACGCTAAAATCGGTGAAGAATTGACATATTTATGCAATTATCCTTGAAAGTCTACACATTTGAGTGATATTTTAGAGATTTGACTGTAACTTAGTCAAATTTTAAGCGTTTTCAACGTTCTCAAGTGCGTTTTGAAGGTGTATAATAGGGCTGGTTATAACCGGTTATTTAACGGTTAGTTAACCGCAAAATAACCGGTTATTCCATTTTCGAAATCAACTAACCCTAACCGCGGTTAGGTTAGTGTTGCGGTTAGGTCCGGTTATTTTCCGGTTAACTAACCTAACTTTCAAACACTACTCACTATGGATGGCAGATGGAGGGCTCGGCTATCTTGACACTTCTCAAGGCAAGAAGTCAGAAGAATAATTATGCACAGGCTATTCACAGCACATACCTCATGGCCACAGGAGCACAATGCCAGCATTTTACAGTGTTCACCTCACTTGGAATAGGTATCAGCTACCCGAGTGTTATAACACAACTACCGAAAGAGAACAAGGGGGTGAGCAAAGCTTCGGAGGGCGCAATTACACCCAAAAAGAGAAGGTGAACACCGGGCACCTTGTATCAGCTCTCTCAAGCATGTCGAAAGACTGCCTGCAAGGTCGCCGCAACTGGCCTTTTTGTCTCATGTTATGATAACATAAACATGATGATACACGTGGCGGAACAGATACTAGGTTGGAAAAGTACGTGAGATGAATTCTAATTTGGTCTCTTTGAGAACTCATGACACATACCATTAGATGCCCAGGAGAATGGAACTTGTGCAACCATTATACCTCTCCACAATGCGACACTTGAGGGCCTCTCTACGGAACGTCTTGATGAAGCTATCATGACTGCCCTGCCATTGATGCTCGAGGATTTGGAGCTCAATGAAGCGGAATCAGAACTTATGAATCGCGCCCTTGTACACATGATCCTATCAGTTATCGTGAGGTATGGTGGCAAGGGCTTTGAACAGTGGAAAGCTGACCTTGACAAATCTTGCCCACAAAGCGCCGAAACGATTGGCGTACACCAAACCTCACTGCATCCCTTACCAGCCATGGAAATTGACAAGAACACAATCACAGGAAATGTGGAGGTCATAGACACAATTTTTACTGAGCTTCATCTTGACCAGGGGCATGAAGATTTCACGAAGTACGTCAAGATCATTGCTGGCAATCAGTTGACTATTGCGAGACAGCGATCAATTCTGAATGTACGTGTGGGTCATGAGAGCGGAGCTGATGCATGGAAACATATCGTACTCATGCCTGGGTTGTTTCATGCAAAGATCGCCAATTGTCATGGCCTCCTCCAAGTTCACTTTGGAAAATCATCAACTTGCAGTCCAGGAAGCCTCGCATTTCACAACACTTGCCTCGACCGGATCCCAATTGTCCTGATTTCCCTCCCATCATTTCGTGTCTGTCGTGATTTGAGTATGGTGTCCCTCTATGCCCGCATCCTCCATTGTCTCCTGCTAGTCTCTGGAACAAGCACCCTAGAAGAATACATCAGCAAGAAGCCGACCTGGGAAGCAATGTGTATCCACACATGCAAAATTCTGGAGACATACGCAAATGCTGATCGAGTCCAAGTGCTTTGAGAACCGAGAATTGTCAAGGAACGCAAATGAGATGCAGAAAAGAAAGCAGAGAAAAAGAGCGACATTCCGCCCAAAAGTGAAGCAACAGCACAGTCAAAGAAACCCCAAGAAGTTCCCCTTCCACACATTCCGAAAGGTGACATGGTGTTCGAGAATGCAAGTTTGTTTATGTGTGATGCTCTCCTCACACGACTCTTTTCGGATGCAATCAAATCTGGCGACTCAGGCCTTATTATCTTGGTGCTCAAGCTTTGGTCCTTTGCATACTGGGGAAGTGGACAGCTAAAATATGCACACGAAATGCTGCACCTCCTTCACAATCTCGTCAATGTTTGGACATCTCAACTTCGGTATGTGTAATGCATCCATGCAGAGTCAATTCAAGCTCGCACTTACATCCAGCATTCTCTCCCAGAAAAATCATAGTTCAGAACTGGTTACTTAACCCTACAGGAAAGGCTAATGCCTTTGTTGAGATTGACCTTTGTGGAAGTGCATCATGAACCTTTCATGACACCCTCCTTTTTTTTATTTTGGACTTTTATTTTAGAATTGTTCTCTTTTCTTTTATTTTTTTATTTTACTTGTGTCTTTTACTAAAGTGTAAGTGTTCAGAGTAGTCGCGTTTTCTTAGGGTTTTCGTTGCGCACAAGCTAAAGCGCTCCTGAAGTGTTCCTACAAGAATCACCATCAAAAGACGCAATAACCGACAAGTTACTGTAAACGCTTCCCTCGAAATGACATCATCATTGGCAACTTCTTCGTTCGGCTCTTTTGGTGAAATTTGAAGGATCGGATCTGGACTCGTTTGCATGTGCATGTACTTTCTTTTATTTATTTTTTTATTATTGTTGTTTTTTTATTATTAACGGCGTATCCTCAAGAGACCGAAGTCGCACCCGAGGGCTGGACGGTAGGGTTGAGCTAACGATAGCTGGGAAGTCCGCACTGAGGGCGGCAGTGCATCCATAAATAGACTCCCCAGCATCAGACGGTTCCCCGAGTCATCCCCAGTCTAAAGGTTTGACAGAGGAATCTGACGGGTGCACCATGGACATTTTCTTTTTGGTGTTCTATAGAATGTCGTGACTTTTTTTAGAATTATAGGACAGGCAGCACGCGAGAACATGTAGATTGCCTTGTGATTTCTGTTTTTGTATTTAGGTGTCCTCCCACCTTGCGAATGGAGCATTCTTCCCCTCTCTTGACTTCGTTCTCACCAAGACTCTTAAGATTTTAAGTAATTTTACATTCAACGCTCTTCCCCCTTCCGAACTTGTCGACTTCGGCTTTCGTTTGGACTCCTCAAGAATATTTCACGCATGCAAGAACTGCACACGTAGTAGAGTGCTCGTCCACGTGTTCTCTCATGCCATCCGCGTTAAGCCCCCCTCGTCCCTTACTTTATTGTCCCAACTTGTCTTTCCCTTTCTTCCCCCATCTTTTTGCGTAGACAACCAGTTTCCGTCTCCCTCTGTCGAACTATCATTCTTCCACACCTTGTGCAGGAACATCTCAACTTCTGGATTAAGGTGAGCCCCTCTCTGTTTGGCTGATGATGTTGTGATGCTACCACCTTCCAACAGAAAGTATACAAGGCCAACGGTGATGGTCATTCATGGGAGTGGCTTTCTCTCATTTCTCCGTGTATTGATGTCTTGTGGCGACTTGCGAAGAAGATTCACAGTGAATTAGGTTCTCAGCTGGGATCAAAGCACACAATTCCCAACCTACATAAGGACATTCAAACCCTGATGGATGCTCTGAATGAGCATGAAGTCTACGTTGTGAAAGAAGGCAGGGTTTTGGATGCAAACAATACCCCCGTGCCCAATGTCATCTCAACTGGGTTAGCGGCACTCGCTCATGGGAACGCAACCAACCCACTGGCTGAATTCAATGCTCAGTACAACAGCCTTCGCGAGCGCCGTAAACTCGTGCCTATTTCTGATCTATGCCCAATATCTGCCAACATGTGTCACCCTGAATCCTCGACAGCTGTCCCCATCCCTGCGATCACTGAACAAATACCAGCCAACGAAACAGGTTTGGAAGACGAATACGATGGCTTACCCAAGTTGGCGATAACTTCAGACTCAGAGGATGAGGAAGATCGCGAAGATCCTTATGACGAGGATTTGTTTGCTGATTCACCAACCCTTACGCGACTAGAGGAAGAGGATGTGGTGTTAGAGTTGGATGATTTGGTGTTGGATGACTCTGGGATGGATTGGGATAGCGACGAGCAAGGAGACAGTGATGAGGACTTGGACTGAGGTTGCGCGCACAGACCCATCGACGACGACAACAAAGTCACTTAAAAATTTTACACAAAAACTTATATACTCAAATCTACTCTATGCCTCTCAAAAATCACTTTTTGTATACCCTCCCTGAGCACTTTTTTTCATCATTCCACACTTTTTTCGACTAAGTGACCCCCTCTGAAATGGCAGGGAGATTTTCACCCTCTCAAAATGGCAACAAGAGTGACCAGCCGGCTTTTCAAATTGAGGAGTCACACGAGTCAATTATGTAATCGAAAAGCCGGCTGGGGACAAGCCTACGAGTCAGCCTGAGCTTTGGGCCAACTTTGGGCACAGTCATGTGCCCATCGGCTGAGTTCGGAACATTGTGCCATGTGACTGATGTTGAACTTCTGAACTTCAGGACTCTAATGTTCTAATGTTTCAACTCCCCACCATCGCTCCCTAAGGCCTGAGTCTGCACATACACCTGCTCACCGATGTTGGCCGCATCTGTGAGTTGGTGTATATGCTTCTCTGGTCTGGTCTTACCTTCTCACTGATGTTGGCCGCATCCGTGAGTTGGTGTATGTGCTGCTCTAGTCTGGCAGAGTCTGGTCTTACCCTCTCGTGAGTCGTGCCTTTGCACAGTTGAAACCCCCCCTAACGGATCTCATCTAGGATTATGACACGTTGGAGGGCGCCTTCACTCTGTCAGCAGTCCGGCTCGTATTCAGAGGGCTCCCCCCTTATACACTCATCTTCTCCACCCCTACCCCCCACCCCCATCCAGATGCCACGCTTCTGGGGGGGACAGCGAGTAGTTCTCTTCTTGTCGCCTCGTGAGTTATGTTACCTCATGCTCAAGGTTCCCCTATTGATTGATATTCTGTAGGACTACCTTTCAGTGTTCGACCTCTTGAGAATCCTCGCTACTTCAAAATTTTCTCCTTCCCCTTTCCCTCAGCTCAGGCTTCCACTGTAATTCATAGTCATTGGTTTTTGTATCTTGTAGCTATAATATATATCTTTTAACCCTACAAACCATTGAATCCAAAGGCTCAGAATGCAAGAAAATTCCTCATAATCTATCAAAATGAATCACAACGTAACAAAGAATTGTATAGTGGCACGAGATTGTGAAATCTTGCTGTATATTGTGAGAGATTGTCTAAAAACGCAGCGATGATGAGGCCTCATCAGCCATTGTGAGGGAAGTCGAAATATTATGGTAAATTGTGATGATTGTAGTTAATTGTGATTGATTTTGGACCTTACGATGGCTCAGGGTATTTCCCCTGATTTGCTGATGGTCGTGTTCTGTCACGCTGTGACTCGATGGGTGGTTTTGCCTACCAAATGCACCAGACTGTTGTCGGTCGTGTGTTTTCACACCCCGACGGTCCGTTGGGCCACACACTCTATAGCGGATGGGGACGAGACTACCTTTTCTAGATGTGGGGTGAGGGGCAATCAAATGACCAGGTGGGGAATGTATGGGAGTAGTGTTTAACAGTTCAGATAGCTTGAATCTCCAGGTCACAAACGACGCACTGGATGAGCTGTCCTAAAAATAAAGCATCAATCCGTGCAACAGAACAGTGCAGAGGATTACTATCAGGGGCTCTTGGGATGGGTTCCAAAATTCATAAAACAAAATGTTGGTGTGGCCCTTGGTTATATTAGTACCTATAACCTGGTAAGGGGAGTGGCAGCACCATGGGTGGGGAAAGTGACAAACGAATTATATCAGATGATCTCGTGCTAGATTAAAATACCTCATTGAGAGGTTCTCAATGCCTAAAAAGGTTGGGGTACACCTGTTTTCAGGCAAGGAGGTTGAGCTGAATAGCTAGTTGAAAGTATTGAATGAAGCGGTGTAATTTTGCTGCAGTAAGAATTCTGCACGTGACACTCGGAAAAACCCAACGATCTTGCAACCAAAGAATAACAACATAGGGCGGCAAGCCGCATGGCCTGCTACCTTCCAGCAAAAAAGGTTGAATTGGTTGTCTTAATAAATAGGAATTTTTGCATTCAAGTATGGAGCAACTTATGTCTTCAAATGAAAATTGACATCTGGTGCACTGAGTATCTGTTTACTTTCACATTTGGAAGTGTACAGTAACTGGTGCCAGATATATTCTGTCTTGACACAGTGGCGAAAAAATTGAAAGTGATTACGACCATTAAGTGGACAATTAATAAAATCTTTTTGAAACTAGAGGTTGACTTCATCAACAAAAACCTCACTTCTAAATCTGTACTTTATATATGTTAGTAATGATTTCACCCAACAAAAAAAACTTTCAAATTGTAGTTGTTTCATCATTCTTAATCTGATCCTGTTATTTTTCGTTTTTTCACGAGAGCTCCATTGGAGCATTGAATATCTAGCTTGTCAAAGGAGGTCGCTGCTCATCGCCTGGCCTTTGGCCAGCTCCTCGCAGCGGCGACGAGCAGTGTTAAGCAAATTGAAAACCAGTTGGACTTTGCAGACTTTGTGCCCTCATTCTTCATCAACGTGGAGATTTCGTTTTCCTCTTATTTAAATTCCCAGATTAATATTACCACACAGTCTGATAGATAGACCTAGAAATATGGACATGGGAGACATAGCTAAAGTGAGGTGATCAAGACCACCCAGATAGTGTACAGTGTGCCATGTCTGCAGAAGAGTGGAGTGGCAGCACGTTACATTAATCTTGTACAAAATTTACAGACAATTTACAGTATCTACCCCTGCAAATGATGAAGTCGGTTTCGGTTCAGTATATGATTTTTCTCCTATGTAACTGGTGAAGAACGTGATGTATGTAGAGACGTGACTTTTCCTGTGTCTACAGTCTTTCCTGTTGAGCAAGTGAGGGGTGTGATTACATGTGATGGGAAAATCTGGCACGTGATTTTTTGGCCAATCGACGCTGCTAAGTACAGAAGACCCACTACTGACGTAGCAAGGACATCTGGGATCTGGAAATTTCAGCAATTCGCCGAATTGCCAAATGATCGGACTTCCCTTCCTGCCAAATCAACACAATGCCAGCGTCAACCTCTCTATGAACTCTGACGTTCTCCCTATAGCTCTTCAAGTCATCAGCAGTGCTCGGCGACACGATCTCTCATGGAGGGTGTAGATGACGGAAATGGATAACAGAAAGGATCAAAGCAGCGACAACTGTGAGTATTTTAACGATACCTGACAATGATGCAGCTCACCTGGCACGGAATCCTACAGAAATGTTGTCTGCACAGCGAACCTGGGGGCGCTGTTATACGCTGCTATGATGGGTGAGTCAGGCTGCATGAGCACCATCGTGTCCTGCAAGGAGCACAACCACAGTAAACACGACATTTACGACATTTGCGAGACAAATGAAGGTAGCGAGGTGAGCATGAAAGCTCTAGCAACCCAACTTCCTTCATCATTCTTGGTTATAGACTGCATTACAAATGTACTGTCAAGCGTACAAACAGGCTCCTGTTGGTCAAGCTCATGCACTCCTGCGCAAAGATCGACGTCCAGACTCTATCCTCAACATTCTCACTGACTATATCCCACAAATTACACCAGAGCAAAACTCGAAGGATCCTGCCTGTGTGTTTTGCCTGGCGGAATTCTCCCGCCTTTTATCCCGTTTACGAGGAGTGCGATGAGAGAAGATGCTCACTGCCTCCCCCTCTCATTCCGCCGTCTCTCTCTTTCTATGGTGCTGCTTTTGCAATTTCCTCCATCTAATTCCAGCACTGCATCGTTCAGCTGCAGCTGCTTCCCACCATCGCCTTTGTCGTGTGCGACCGCCGCCAACCGCTGCTAGAGAACCTTGAATCTGGGGGACACTGAAATTGGTAGAAGGAGGAGGATAGACAGATGCATATACAGGCTCGCCATATCCGCCGCCCACTCTCACCTTCGTAGACATTATAAATTTTGTGTGCTTCCAATCACTTTGAACTTTGTTACATGGCGGGTATGTTAATATTCATCTTCTCATTGAATGTGCATTTCGATGTACATTTGCCTTCTTAGAAATTTAAAACGGGAAATTCCAACGTGTTGTGCGAAACGGCGAACTGCCGAATTGCCGAAATTTCCAGATCCGAGATTTTTTGGACCTAGCGGGAATCTCGGATTTGGAATTTCCGCGTGTCCGGCGTCCGGCAAATGAATTTGTCAGCCATGCGGCAAATTCCGATCTTGACTTCAACCGCAAGTTCCTCTGCTGCCCATTCGTCAAGAACTCTCTACATGGCGTGAATGAACGCGACTCTAACGTTGACATTGGCCTGATAGACAACCGCGACACTGACACTTGGTAAGTTTACGGCTATAGTTATAGTGAGACTGAACAGGGAAAAAGATCTACAACTACACTGGTAGCTGTACAACTGCCTGACAACCACGACAAGGGAAAATGATTCGTGACGATGCGGACCGCACTGTAGCGCTAACGACAACGGGACGAGGGAACCACTTCGATATTGAGGAAGTCTGCAACATCGACGAGGACGCCAACCACGACATCTCCAATGTATTCTACGCTGCACAGTTACACAAACCAGACGAAGGCCGCCCTCCGCCCTTGCGGTTAATACCAAAGCGCAAAAGGCAAACACCGCCGCTGTGAGCGCGTGTCTGGCCGTCGACACCATCTCTCACTTCCACACCGATTGGACGATACCCTTCACACCTTTCGGAATAGCCCTGTGAGTTTTATTTGAATCGCAGCACGATACATTTTGATACTATGTAGATACGATATCTTATAGCCCATCCTTCGGATCTTCTACATACAAGTCCCCAGAAATGGCAATGCAATCCGTGCTACACGCCCCTCCTCCTAACGCCATTCAAAGTCCCCCGAGAAGCTCACGTTGTCGAACCTGAAGACTGGTATTGGAAATCCCCGATGATGGAGACTAGTGGAGGTTGCTGGGAGGCTCGTTTGGGAGGCGCGTAAGGAGCATTTGAAGGTGTGGGAGAAGGAGAATCTGGCGAGGACGTGAAGTGGGAGAAAGAGAGGAAGCGGAAACAAATGTATCACGGAGACCTCAGGCTTATAAGCATGTTTGCATACAGGTCGACAGCGGCGAAGCGACGCTAACCACCTTGGGGACTGCCAGTTGATAACCGCCGCTTCCACCTGTAGATACTCAGTCTTCTTGTATACCATACATATACATAATAGTAGTATTGAATCACTGTACATGTAAAATGACCATCTACGTGCACAGAAAGAGTGGAAATGATAGAGTTTGGCGTGCCGGATCCGCCAGTCCGCCGGACGGCCGGAATTTCCATATCCCAGATGTCCTCCTTGCAACGATCCCAAGGTTCAAATTTCAATTTGCTTGAACACTCACCAACACCCATTCTCCGTCTTACTTCGGCAAAGTTTGCGCAGATTCTTGCATCAGCATAGATTTTCCAAAAAGAGGTAGCAACGCTGTCGCCGAGGTTTAGTAGTGGGAGACAAATGGGGACAAATGGGTGACTCTTCGAATTTCTGTCAGGTTGCAAGTAACATGTAACAGCTGAGCTGTTCCAGATGACCGTTGTCGACGGACGCGTGCTTCGATATCGCAGCATGGGGCACATCTCACTTAAATGCTGTGAAGCATCTCCGGCATCCCGTATGTGTATCCACAATCCCACTCTCAACGAAATCACCATCATTGTTGGGCCCAGTGGTACTAGAAACCACACCGTTGCGCAGCGCCTTCTCAAAGTGTCGGGGCCGAAGGCAGGCGAATGAGCCTTGTCGAACGGGGTGCCTCAAACGCGGTCCCATGCGCATGGGATTGTCATCCCGAAAAGCGGCCGTTTGAGACTCGAGAGTGCCAGCCAGCGTTGCCGGTAAACGGGACTTTTCTGTAACGAGGGAGGAGGCTGAGAACCTTTTCGGGCTGTGCTTATGCACAAGATCGCGATGAACTCGTTTTATAGACAGAGATGCTCCTGGAGGGCCTTCCATCCCGATCTACATGAAACAAATTAGCTATTGCTCGTGCTCGACCGAGAAATCTGCAGGTTATACATTATCGGTACGTCGTTTTCTGGCTTTTTTAATTTTGTTTGAACCCACCTCATCGCTTTTGAACAGGCTAAGCAGTCTATGTTACATATTTACGCTCTCACATTCGAGGTTATTTGTCGAACAAGCCCGCTGTTGTGATTTTTTGCAGTTCAGCCTTCAACCGCCCCATTCGTCCGGAGATCGGGGGGCACCTAGGAGAACGAGCTGGACTCTGGTTCCGATCCTCTTGCGCAAACCTTCATCTTTCCCGGATTCGTCTGCTACCCATGCCTCTCTTACTTCCATGAAGTCACCTTCGGCGCCCAATAAGTGTCAAGCTTGGAGGCGTCGCGTTCTAGGCATTATTGGACGAGGTTGCAGAGGGGCCTTTTGAGGTTGGCTTCGCTTTTTTTTTTTTTTCATGGGGAGATCTAGAAGAAACTGATTACTGTGTCTTTTAGAATATCCGTGGTGTTAGGCGTGTGCCATATCGCGGATCAGGTTATCTTTAGGTTCCAGTTACTGCTGTAATCGACAAAGCCTCAGTGCTGATGTCCCGGGGTCTTGAGCGTTGCACCTAGGACCTGACAAGTGGTTTCATTCATCTCGCAGAAGCGTTCGTCGGAACGATTCTCATCTCCCGTGGAACGTGGTAGCATCTTCCTCCAGATGGTTGAAGTCCCTCATGTTCTGGCGTTCACTGTGACGATTGGCTCTCAGCTCATGGCTTTCGGTACGTCTCTCATTTTGAGACTACATTCTGGTTCTGACTTCACTAATCACAGCTGAGGAGATTGTGAAGTTTGTACAATATACCAAACGACTTATCCACTTCGGTGACTCGTCCTGATAAATCCTGCGTCCTGAACTTTGCAACATCACCTACAAAAAGGTTCACTTCTCTTATCCAGAGAATTCTGAAACCACCGCCCTCAGGAGTTTCAACCTCACGGCAGACGATGATGGAAGTGCCGCAATCGTTGATGTCTCGGGCTCTGGCAAATTCGCCATGATCGCCTCTCTCCAACGTCTGTACGAACGTACCTCTGCTTCAGTCGCTGTCGTGCTCAATGACCTCCGTGATGTGGCGATTATGCACCACCACGACCACGTCTCCGTGGTCTCCCAGTACCGCAGATTCTTCGGAGCGTGCAGGGGGAGTACTCTTATGACCACTTTTTCATTTTTTCCCATATATGCGTCATTAATCATTACTCCATCTTCCGTAGTCTAACGCACACACCAGTACATATTTGCGACTGTGTAGTAGCAAAATTAGATCGTTAATTATCCCATGCAAGCAATGAGCTCAACCACGTGGATCTCCATAGAGGTGTTGGTGCGAGCTGCGTAAGTTCCAACTTCTGCCGATCTTTTGCCACCTTGCCGCGCCTCTCACGCAGGTCGTTTCGTAACTTGTTCAACTCATCGTAGTAAGAATTGTCCTCCAAACCAGACGCAGCTTCCAACTGCTTAACAAGCCCTTCAATATGTTGCACATGATCCGCCTCGAGCTGGGCCAGCTGGCTGGCAAGCTCGCGACCTGCCGCAGTTTGAAATAAAGTCTTCCGACTTCGAATCTCTTCGACGATTTGAATCTTGTCGATAGCAGTAAAGTCAAGGACAGAAGATATGAGCTTCTTTGCGGACTCGAGAGTATTATAGTGGCGATAGAGCTGGGCCCCATTGTCGGTAAAGTCTTTGAAATAGCCGCTGAGCTGAGTCTCAGTCTTCTCCGCGGCTTGCAATTGTTCCTTGTGAACTTCGTCCCATCGTGTGGTGACAATAGCGACGTTCTTCATGGCGGAGGGCCCACAAAGGGAAGACATCATACGAATGTTGCGCTTTGCAGTGCCGCTAATGCGGACGTCGGAGATGCGGTGGAAGTAGATTAAACCATGCAACGTCTTCCCCTTGTGCCTTCCAAGTCAAGAATAAAATTATCACAAGAACTTCTCAAACGTAACGAGAATGCGTACTTTTTTATTAAGAAGTTAGTTATATCTTCAAGGAGTCTCGAATCGCTCATGTTCGGTCGGTTGTCGTCAAAGCCAGGGGTGTCCACCATGACCACATATTGGTGCTTGTGATAAAATGAAAAGCTCTGAATTTCACTTGTTTCGGGGTCGATACCCCCTCCGATCTTGATATCTCTATTCTCAGTAAGAAGCTTTATGAACTGGTGCCCTTGAAGATCAGATGGAGAAATTACTACACAAAACCAGGGCTCACTGAAGATTTTCCGGTGCCAGTCATCCCCATGAGGCTAGCGACGAGACTTAGCGGTCCCCGATGGAAATTAGTAGAGTTTCCTTGCTTACAAAATGACCTTTGCACCAATGGGTTCGTCAATTTCGCAACGATAGTCGAAAGTTTTTTTTTTTTGTCGGTTGGGTAAGTCTAGACCTTAGTTGTTTTCATCCATGGGAGTTGGCAATCGAAAAACATACAGAAGTCAGAAGCGAAGCGCTTAGCGCTGCCTCCTAAAAGGAGTTACATACTACTTGGGAGTTTAGTGCAGTTGAGTTACTCACCCCCTCTTCCTCCTCCAATATCGTAGTCTGGAATAAGAAGGTCAAGCGCCTGACCGACTCTGCTGCTAGTATATGCGTCGTCTTCCAAGAAAGAAAAAGTCAGGTACGAAAGAGGATGAGTGGTTGATTTTCTTACCAAAGTATTTGCGAAGGCCCATGTTGCCAAGGTGGATTCGGAAGCTCAACGGAAAGAAGGTGGCACCATACATTTAAGGTCATGGCTATACGTCGGCACCGCACCTGGTCGTGGCTAAACATGTGGAGCCAATGTGGAGTCCGAGCATGAGCCTGAGAGCGCAACGTGTGACTTCAAATCAAAGTGTAACACTGATTCAAAAAGTTGGCGCAAGCGTCTTCCACAAATTACGTGCAAACCGCGTTTCTCCTCCATATCTTCTATGGATGGCTTCAACAACTTCCCACACCCAACTAGTGTTTCAGAAACATCCGAGTCCATAAATATCGATCACTGGCAGGGCCCAGTGCCGCACGACTGCTGCGAGGACTGAAGTGAGTGTTCTATCACGACGAACAGCAGGGTCAACCTGACTGGCATGAACTTTGCTGCGCTCAGTGAACTAGTAGTAGGCGAATTTGAATTGTTTCATGATCAGGTGGGTTCAACGCTGTGAAACGGATGTTCTCACATTATGAGATCGCCGCGTCTTCAAGCAGTCTGGAGGCGCACTCAAGGCTGTTGTCAACTTCGCCATGCACTTGCATCGCGCCATCGAAAGTTTCGATATGGGGCCGTTCTTTCTATGTCAACCCTCAATGAAAAGAATACAATCCTCCAAGATGGGAGGATTGAATCGGCCGCGTCACATCTGGGGATTCCCCAGGTGGGCAGCCACCTTGCGTTCCTTCCCCAGTGCCCTGGCAGAATTACATGCACGCCTTCACTCTATTCACGAACCATTCCATCTGGAATACACGTTCCGATTGGGGAAGATCTTTCACGACCTAACTTTTCGTCTGTCGAAAAGGCAAGTGCGGCCTTTTTCGGGTGAGGGTCAGAGGCAAGATGTGTACTATTTACGACATGCTATGTCACAAATTGGCGCCTCCGAACAGATATCGCTTCTCCTTTCTATGCGCGCAACAATCCACATGTTTACCCACGAGTTGACATAGCATGCCAACATATAAGCCTGTCTTTCTCTTTGATCCTCAAATTCTCAAACTTAGGTCGGCAACATGTATTTCAATGCTGCACACTCTGGTGAGCGATTAGGCTATATCCTCCTTCGTACCTGACCCCCTTCCAGGAACCAGTATGTATTTTTGTTCATTTACCCTGGCACCCGGGGGCTCTGACTCCACAAGATCAACCCTCAGATACACAAGACGGCTCTGATGCCGAACCCACCGGTGCGAAGGTCATTGTGTAAGGAAGAAGAATCTGTGTTCCACGGCAGACCGCTAAATTTCTTCCCAGCCTCATGGGAATGACTGGCACTGGAAAGTCATCGGTGAGTCTTTTCCGTGTAACAAATTCTTAGTTCTGATCCCCAAGACATCAGTTCATAAAGCTTCTTACTGGGGATGAAGGTGTCAAGGTCGGAGAGACCCTCGAACCCGAAACTAGTGAAATCAAGAGCTTTCTATTTTTTCACAATCACCAATGCGTGTCCTTGGTCGATACACCTGGTTTCGACGACAGCCGACCAAACATGAGCGATTCGAAACTTCTTGACGATATAGCTGAGTTCTTGAAAAGGAGGTATGTGTTGCGGTCATTTTTCATAAATGCCTATAATAATTCTATCCTTGACTTGGGAGACACCATACAAAGGCCGTGCATGGTTTTATGTACTTTCACCGCATCCGCGACGTCCGCGTTGGTGGCGCCGCAACGCGCAACATTCGTATGTTTTCTTCTCTTTGTGGACCCGAAGCCATGAAGAATGTCGCCATTGTCACCACAAGATGGGACGAATTACATGGTGAACAACAACTTCAGGCCGCGGGGAAGACCGAGAAGGAGCTCCTCGGCCACCATTTCGAAGATTTCATCGACGGTCAAGCCCAGGTCCATCGCCACGACAATACTCTCGAGTCCGCACAGGCGGTCATGTCTTCTCTCCTCCGCTGTCCGCCTATTGGCGACATTCGAGTAGTTGTTGAAATTCTCCATGGTAAAACCTTGCCTGAAACTGATGCAGGTCTCGAGCTCAAGGAACAGCTGGTTCAACTCGTGAGTCATTACGAGGATGAGCTCAAGCGTCTGTCCATCGAGTTCCAAGCCGCTATTAAATTCAATAAGGAGGCCCATGAGGAGGAGGTTGCGAAGTTGCGAATGGAGCTTGAGAAGGTGAAGAAAGACCACGAAGCCTTGTTGGGGAAAGCTAAGCGCGTACGCACTAAGCGACGGGAGGTGTTGTTTCGGGTTCTGACACGGCGAAGGGCGTAGTGACTATGTCTTACTTACCTTCTTGCCACACACTATCCCAGATCCACACCGCCCACATCAACCTTTAAACAGTTTGCGCATCCGAATCTGCCATCCATATCACGTCCATTCCTGTATCAGCCAGTGTCCCATATACTCGTGTTTACGCCTCCTGTGCGACTTTCGCTGTACTAGGAGACACTAGTACGATCGGTAGCATTATGAAAATATGATGACGAGGAAGATGAGAGTTCCGAGAAGGAATGCACTAAATTATAAAGCCAATCAGAACGGACGGAAACTCGTTTATGGGAAGGTTGCTCATACACACTGGTGGGACACAGCGAATGAGTTTTCTTTTCCTCGTCAACTCCACCTCCTCACTTCCCCTGAAGAAGAGCGGACGGAAGTAAACGCCGCAACATCTACCCCTAATTCCACACAAACTCTTGGTCTTTCTTGCCATCTCATCCATCTCCTTCCACCTCGCGGAAGGGTTCGTCGGAATGGTCCTCATTCTCCGTGGAACGTGGCAGCATCTTGGTTCTTCCTACAGATGGTCGAAGTCCCTCATGTTGTGGCGTTCAAGTTCGACACTGTGACGAGTGGCTAATTTGGCTCTCGTATTTTGTGAAAACATTCTGGTTCTGACTTCACTAATTACAGCTGACGAGATTGCGAAATTTGTCCAATATGCCAAACGACTCATCCACCTTGCATCCGCCTCGATGGCTCGTCATGATGAATCCTGCGTCCTGCCAGCGTACTTTGCAAGATCGCCTTCAAAAACGTTCAGTAACTTCAGTTATCTTATCCAGAGAAGTCAGAAGCCACCGCCCTCAGGAATTTCAACCTCGATGGTGGAAGTGTCGCAATTGAAGTTGATGTCTCGGGCTCTGGCAAATTCACCATTGCCTCTCTCCAACGTCTCCACGAACCTACCTCTGGTTCGTCCTCAATGACCTCCGCGATATGGCGATCATGCGCCCCCATGATCACGTCTCCGTGGTGTCCCAGTGCCGCAGATTCTTCGGAGCTTGGCGCGCAAGGGGAGTAGTGTTGGAGCAGCGAGTATGAGGGGTAGTGGTTGAGTGAGAAGGTAATGAATTCGGGGACTCTCAGTCCCCCTTGTATACTACAAACATATGTAACTAGAATATACTACAAACTACTATAACTATCTACAGTGTCCTATATGAGACTAGTACGTGCGCGTATGCACGGGATCGGCATACCGGAGTTGCCGGTCCGCCTCGACTATTCAACAAGTAGTAGATTGGGGAGTAGTAGTGATCATTGTAATGAGTTGTCAAATTGAGTGGTGATAACCCTAGACGTTTCTCTCCGTGTGCATCATCTCAGGATCGACATCACCTTTGTTGCTCTACACTCCATTTTCTGCGATTACTTGGGATGATCTGCAATTACAATATTTTCAATGTATGCGTAGTACCTACTTGCGACTGTGTAGTAGCAAAATTAGACCGCTATTTCGGACGTCTTTCTGTAATCAACGAACGAAGCTGCTTGAAACGTTTTGGCGCGATCTTCATAAGTTCCAACTTCTGCCGATCTTTTGCCACCTTGCCGCGCCTCCCACGCAGGTCGTTTCGTAACTTGTTCAACTCATCGTAGTAAGAATTGTCCTCCAAACGAGAAGCAGCTCCCAACTGCTTCTCAAGCCCTTCAATCTGTTGCACATGATCCGCCTCGAGCTGGGTCAGCTGGCTGGCAAGCTCTTCACCTGCCGCAGTTTGAAATAAAGTCTTTCGACTTCGCATCTCTTCGACGATTTGAATCTTGTCAATAGCAGTAAAGTCAAGGACAGAAGATATGAGCTTCTTTGCGGACTCGAGAGTGTTATCGTGGCGATAGAGCTGGGCCCCATTGTCGGTGAAGTCTTTGAAATAGCCGCTGAGCTGAGTCTCAGTCTTCTCCGCAGCTTGCAATTGTTCCTTGTTAACTTCGTCCCATCGTGTGGTGACAATAGCGACGTTCTTCATGGCGGACGGTCCACAAAGGGAAGACATCATACGAATATTGCGCTTTGCAGTGCCGCTAATGCGGACGTCGGAGATGCGGTGGAAGTAGATAAAACCATGCAACGTCTTCCCCTTGTGCCTTCAAGTCAATAAAGTTATCACAAGAATTTTACAAACATAACGAAAATGCGTACTCTTCTGATAAGAACTCAGTTATATATCCAAGGAGTTTCGAATCACTCATTTTCGGCCGGTTGTCGTCAAAGCCAGGTGTGTCGACCATGATCACACGTTGATGCTTGTGATAAAATGAAAAGCTCCCAATTTTACTTGTTTCGGGGTTGATACCCCCTCCGACCTTGATATCTTTCTTCCCAGTGAGAAGCTTTATGAACTGGTGGCCTTGGAGATCAGAGGGAGAAATTACTACACGAAATCAGGGCTCACTGTAGATTTCCCAGTGCCAGTCATCCCCATGAGGCTAGCGACGAGAGTTAGCGGTCCGCGATGGAAATTATACTTTCCTTGCTTACAGAATGACCTTTGCAGGAGGGCGCTTGTTAGAGGCGACTCTGCTATCAGCGTCGTCTTGGAAAAAATAAAAGTCAGGTGCGGAAGAGGACCAGTGGTCAAGTTTCTTACCAACATTATTGCCATTGGCCATGTTGCCAAGGTTGATTCAGAAGTTCGACGGACAGAAAGAAAGACGTTGTATGTTGGCACCACACTAGGTCATGGCTATATGTTGGCACCGCACTGGGTCGTGGCTAAAATGTGGAATGTGTGTGGCATGACTCACATGGATCGGAGGCGAAAACAGAGCGCTACGTGTGACTTCAACGTGTTTCACTGATTGGCGCGTCATCTTGCAAGCTTCTAACTTACGTGCATATCGCGTTCCTCATCCATATGTTCTGTGGATGGCGCCAACAACTTCCCAAACAACCAACAAACAACTTGAATGGGTCCATGCAACTTGCCGAAATCGTTAGCTGACTAATCACTGATTTCGCCACGCTCCAGCATCCTCGAGCATCGTCTCGTTTTGGTCTCGTTCCTCTGGCGTTCTTCTGCCGCATCAAGGTGGGCGCCAGTTCTTCTGATGGGCCATGGCGCTTAGTTATAATAGCTTGTGTTTCAGAAACATTCGAGTCCATAAATCTCGATCAGGGCCTGCCGCACGACTGCTGGGAGGGCTGAAGTGAGTGTTCTGTTGTGTTCTACGATGATCAGGTGGGTTAAACGCTGTGAAACGGATGTTTTTAGAATATGGGGTCAATCTCAAATAAGTATTCTGACACGTCTTCAGCCTGCAGGCGCACTCAAGGCTGTTGTCAACTTCGACATGCACTTGCATCGCGCCATCGAAAGTTTCGATATGGGGCCGTTCTTTCTATGTCAACCCTCAACAATCCTCCAAGATTGGAGGATTGAATCGACCGCGTCACATCTGGAGAATCGAGATTCCCCAGGTGGGCAGCCACCTTGCGTTTCTTCTCCAGTGTCCTGGCAGATTTACACCCACACCTTCACTCTATGGAGCAGTGATCCCAGCTGGAATACACGTTCCGACTGGGAAAGATCTTCTACGACCTAACTTTACATTCATCTATCGAAATGGCAAGTGCAGCCTTTTTTGGGTGAGGGCTGCAGCAGCTGGAGGCTAGGTCAGCGGCAACTTATGTGTACTATTTACGGTATGCCCATGCTGCAAATTGGCGCCTTACGCATATCGCTTCTCCACATGTTTACCCACGAGCTGACATAGCATGCCAACATATAAGCCTGTCTTTCTCTTTGACCCTCGAATTCTCAAACTTAGGTCGGCAACATGATCTTTTTCAACGCTCTACAATCTGATGGTGAGCGACTTGGCTATATCTTCCTTCGTATCTGACCCCTTCCAGAAACCAGTATGTATTTCTATTCAATACCCCTGGCACCGCGGCTGTGATACGAGAAAGTTAATCCCCCAGATCAACCAGACGGCTCTGATGCCGAACCCCTCGGCGCAAAGGTCATCGTGTAAGGGAGGACAATTTATTTTCTACAGTAAATTTCTAAATTTCTTCCCAGCCTCATGGGAATGACTGGCACTGGGAAGTCATCGGTGAGTCTTTTCCGTGTAACAAATTCTTAATTCTGATCGTCAATGCATCAGTTCATAAAGCTTCTTACTGGGGATAAAAGCGTCAAAGTCGGAGAGACCCTCGAACCCGAAACTAGTGAAATTAAGAGCTTTCCGTTTTCTCACAATAATCAATGTGTGTCCTTGGTCGACACACCTGGTTTCGACGACAGCCGACCAAACATGAGCGATTCGAATTTTCTTGAAGATATAGCTCACTTCTTGGAAAGGAGGTATGTGTTGCGGGTATTTTCGATGAATGCCTGTGATAATTCTATCCTTGACTTGAAAGACACCATACAAAGGCCGTGCATGGTTTTATTTACTTTCACCGCATCCGTGACGTCCGCGTTGGTGGCACCGCAACGCGCAACATCCGTATGTTCGCTTCTCTCTGTGGACCCGAAGCCATGAAGAATGTCGCCATTGTCACTACAAGATGGGATGAATTACAGGGTGACGAACAACTTCAAGCCGCGAGGAAGACTGAGACAGAGCTCCTCGGCCGCCATTTCAAAGATTTCACCGACGGTCAAGCACAGGTCCATCGCCACTACAATACCCTCGAGTCCGCACAGGCGGTTATGTCTTCTCTCCTCTACTGTCCGCCTATTAGCAAGATTCGAGTAGTCACTGAAATGCTCAGCGGTAAAACCTTGCCTCAAACTGGGGCGGGTCTCGAGCTCAAGGAACAGCTGGTTCAACTCGTGAGTCATTACGAGGAGGAGCTTAAGCGTCTGTCCATCGAGTTCCGAGCCGCTATTAAATTCAATCAGGAGGCCCATGAGGAGGAGGTTGCGAAGTTGCAAAGGGAGCTTGAGAAAGTGAAGAAAGACCACGAAACCTTACAGTTGTCGGCAAAAGTTAAGCGAGGCAAGTTTCGGAGGTTTTGGAGTCGAGAAAAGTAAGGGAAGGGCGCCAAATTATATGGAAATTAATACCGCTGGCACGTGACTATGTAGGCATTTGTTCAAACTTTAAGTTTAAGCACTCCAGATTGTTATCCTACCACCCACGTCAACCTTTGAACAGTCTGAGCATCCATATCGTCGCCCATTACGTCCACAACTGCTCCTCCATTATCTCCACTGGCTGATTACTTGTGTTTACGCTTCCTCTGCGACTTTCGCTGTACCAACTTATACTAGTAGATCGATCGCATTATCAAAGGTTTATGATGACGAGGAAAATCAGATTTTTCAGGAGGAGAAACAGGCAATTCGCTGAAGCCACTCCGAACGGACGGCAACCCATTTATAGGAAGGTTGCTCGTATACATTGCTGTGGCCAACAAAGCCTTAGTGCTGTTGTTCTGGGGCTTTTGGGCGACATACTGAGGACCTGACAAGCAACTTCATTTATCTTGTGCAAGTGCGCATCGGAGCCGTCCTCAAATCCTGCGACCTCTAAATGGTTGAAGGCCTCCATGTTGTGTTTACTGTGGCGATTGGCTCAGCTCATGGCTTTCCGTGTGTCTCTTATTTTGCGGAAAGATTCTGGTTCAGATTGTATGTCTTCGCTTACAGCCGAGAAGATTGCGAAATCTGTGGGAGTTACCGACGGTCTCCACCACCTCAACCTCTCGTCTGCTGATGAATGTCGAGGTGTTCCGCGTCCTGGACTTGCATGTAACGTTGCCTTCAACGACGTTCAGTTTTCTTAGAGAAACCCGAAGCCACCTCCTCAACACTGTCAAACCTCACCATTGAGGACGGTGAACGTGTTGCAACTGTTGGTGTCTGGGACTCTGGCAGATCCACTATCGCCTGTCTCTTCCGACGTCTCCATGAACCTGCCTTCGGTTTGATACAAGCATTCGAATCATTGCGACAGAGATAAGAAGCTGCATTTGCCCGACGTATGAATGGAAAACGCTTGTACGGAGCATACAGGGGAGTTGTATGATCATGCTTCCTACTTTTTGGGTGGATGCAGGGAGTTTTTTTTTTTTGCAAGAGCGTTGGCACCCTTCTTGGCCAAGCCTTACGAGGAGACTTGAGCAGGTACAAGTTGAAGGAGGGGGATGACGTAAAGGTTGAGGAAAATTGTTGTTTTTGCCCATTCAGACGCTACCACATGCTTTTGCCTGGGACTGGATGCAGGATAATCGATAAAGGCTTACTCCACGTCGATTACAGCGAGGGTATGTGCCTTCACCCCTTTTCGGAAATATCCCTAATTTTTCAGCTTCATCCTAGGATTCTTCCCTGGCAGCCCACGTCACTCACAATACCTATCACGACTACTACCTCGCCCTCGGCCTCTCCCAAACAGTCATTCACAAAAACCTTCCTCCGACCTTTTCACTGGATGGACGGACGACACCATAGCCTTCGTCCACTCTGGCTGCCGTTCGCGATCTGCGCAAAGCGCTTGGGGAAGACATCACATCCATTGATATAACGGTCACTACTATTGACCCTGGGACGAACTTTGACTCCGCATTTATGGTCAATGGATGGCCGACTTTGACAAGAGAGAACACGTTAGGGACCGTTAGTGGAACTACTGGCCTGGGGCTGAAGAAAGTCATGGCGCCCGGGCCATTCACAGCAGGTGTCAGCCTCGCACCCAATGCTGATGTTATTTACCGGCCAAAGGTTATTCTCGAGCGCACTGTGACAGAAGCCCTGGTGCCACCCTCGTCGAGGGCATAGCGAAACGGACTGCTGAAAAAAGGAGCGGCTTCAAAAAATGGTCGAGGCTAAATCATCACACACTTAGTATGTTGATGAATGTTGAATGTTATCCAGCACTGTACGAATTTTAATGGGGTTTCACTATACCGTACACCGACAGTGATGAGGGCAATGCCTGTGCTTTGCCAGGGTTTTATCTTAACATTACACCACTCTCACTATAGACGCCAGATAGTATTTGGCACCAAGCTGATGATCGTGTAAGTCACAAGGCTTCTTATTGACGCCTATTCCCTTCATTCTCCCAGTACGTGTCCAGGTCACTCTTCAAATTCCGAGTCGATGCCCACAAATAACAATTCTAAGTCATCAGGTAAGTAAGCCACAGATTAATCAGATTTAAATTTCAGGAAGATAACATAGACTACCACCAGCTGAACGCCGCAGCGCTGAATCTCAGGGACGAGATTTATCTGATGCAGAGAACGTAGACGCCGACGGTGATTCCATCGACGAGTACGGCGAGGGCGACGACATATACGAAGACGCCAGGACGATCGATCATCGCCGGCGGAAAGCTGATCTCAGGATGGGCTTTAAGGAGTCACTCACTCAGGAGGAATATGAGATTCTTTGTGATCGTCGTCGACAACAGCAGCTGCTCGAGGTGGCTCCAGGCAATAGCGCCAAAGCCTGGCAGCCGCTCCACCACTGCCATGTGGGAATGGCGTCGGAGGGAGCAGCGACAAACCACCGTCTTCGAAAGAGAAGGCACTGCGCAGAAAAATCTTAGAACTGGAGTACGCACTGCAACAGGAGAAGGCCTCTAACATAAATTTGGACCATCATTACAGGAAATTATGGAATCGCGCGAACGCACAGTCGGAGGAGCTGCAGAGAACTCAGCATCAGGTTCACGGCTTACTGGACGATAACCGGAGCTTGACGCACGAACTTGAGGCTGCTAAAATGCAGCTTGCGGATGCGAAGACGCTTTCGGAGGTTAGAGGCAAGGAGTTGAAGGAGTTGAAGGTCGACACCACAGATGTTGACCAGGAGGCTAATGAGGAGGAGCACTGGGATATGCCGGGGGGTTCTGACATTCTCTTGACTGCTGCTGCCATTCAAATGGTAGATGTTTTGAATGTGGAGGTACGTCGAGTGGCTTCTGTGCTGGGCAAGGTATTGCAAAAGACAAAGTTCGAGGAGGGGCACCGCCAGAGCATACAGATCACTGAGAAAGCTAAATTGATGCTTGGGGAGAACATGGTGGCTCTTCTTTCAGCAGGGGTACCGGAAAGGGCAAGAGTCGATCCCCTTTTCGTGCAAGTTGTGTTGCAGGTCGCAATCATAAATTGGTGCAAAATCAACATTTCCTCATGGAAACCAGGAAATAGTGATGTTTCGAACTCGTTGGTTGAACTTTACTCTAAAATTCGGCAAGTTGGTAAGTACGCCTCATGACGTTTAGAAACAACCTACCCTTACGACAGATATATCTTTCTTTTCAGAGGATCCAACGTTCTACCATCGTTGGCGATCAGTAACTTGGGCACAACTGGAATTTTCATCCAGTGGCTGGTCCCAAGATCTTTTGGATGGGTTGCTAGATATTTTTGCCTTTGCTAGATGGCTAACTCCAAATGCAAACCAGAAAACCCTCTTTGAGGAACAGTTCCCGCCTATTTTCAACGCCATCCGCGACCTGCGGAAGGCGCTTGGGGAAGACATCACGTCCATTGATATTGAGGTCGCTACTATTGACCCAGGGATGACCTTCGACTCCGCATTTATGGATAATGGCTGGCCGACTTTGATGAAAGAGAACACATTAGAGATCGTTAGTGGAACCACCAGCCTGGGGCTGAAGAAAGTCATTATGAAGCCATCCACAGAGGGTAACAGTCTCGCACCCAATGAAGATGTTATTTGCCGGCCAAAGGTCATTCTCGGCGAGCGCACTGTGCAAGAGGCCCTGGTGCCACCCTCGTCGAGGGCACAGAGAAAGGGACTGCCGAAAAGAGGAGCGGCTTCAGGAAATGGTCGAGGCTAAACCATGAGATAGAACTTACTGAGTTGGGATGGCGCAGGTACTTTTGTTTCAGACTTTCAGTTGTTCGGTTGTATTTCTTTGACCTCTTCCGACTTCGTGCAACGTTTGTTGGAATATTTTTGTGGTATATACATAAAGAGAATGTGCAAAGAATGTATCAATGTTTGAACTTTGATTGTAGGGCTCAGGCTGTTGACGGAAATTTACGTTGACATCACTTGGACATCACCTACGACCTTGCAACAGAGTCAAGCCGGCACTTTTCACGTCAATCTGTCCCAGCTACGAAATGGGAACAAACTCTCTCGTCCCAACCATGGCGCACACTCTATACGACAGCTTCGTCGGAAGCTCATCCTCGTACTCGACGTGAGTTGAAGGTTAAGAATCAGTGTACGAGTCGTACTTACTCGGTCACTTGTCAGCAGCGGGGCATGTTGCTAAGATACTATGTCGACTTCTTACTATTCTTGACCCACTCAAATGACGGACATCGAAACAGTAACGAGATGGGACGAACAAACATGCAATAGGCTTTCTGCGGGCGACTTGCTGGGAACTTGAAGTACATCCTCCGAAATTCCTTGCTGTAAACGATGTGGCCAAGTTCGCACTTTGGGTGCCGAGACACTGCGAGAGTCTGTCTAGGAGATGGCTGCGGACAAGGGGTGGGTTATGGCGGAATGCTTGGTCTTTGTCCTCGCTAAGTTGCATCGGTCGTGTCTTCATTTTCACCTCCAGGTTCAAGTTAAATCTGCGCCATTTTCCCGAAGCCTTGAAGCACATTGGGGACGAGTTGCGTTCACTTCTAAACGTAAAAGTTGCGTCGACATTTTCGCAGACTTTTTCAGCGCCAACAGCAAGGATTTATGGCCCTCTGTTGATGAATAGACATACCCTTCATTCTGACGCATGGT